ACAGACCTATTGCCTCATAAATACAGAAAGACAGTTCTTTAATTATAATAACGGTATTATTAACTAAAAAATTAATTACTTTAAGGTCCTTATTAAAGGAAAGAATTAGGGAATTAGTTTTAATATTATACCTTTAGGAGAGGAGATAGATATTATCCTAGGCATAAACTAGCTAAAACGACAAAACCCACATATTAACTAGAAGACCGGCCAAGTTACATTCCTAAGTGACTCTTATAGTAATAATAAAACGATCATAAAGAGCAACAAAAGATCTCAAACACTAACCAAGAAGGAAGGCAGTAATAAGGGCAAAACCAATTAATCGCCGCCTCCAAAAGGAGTATGATATAAGTATAAGAAGGGCATAAGATATAAAATAGAAATCCTTAGCATCTTATAAAAAGAGGATCCTTAAAAGGAGGAAGAAATAAAGAAAGAGTTAGAATAGGACTGACTTAAGAATATCCTAAAAGAATACTAAATATACAATAAATTGTTTAGTGAAGACTTAGAGATAGGAATCCTGGAATATAGTAAGTAGAATTATGAAATTAATCTAACAGATAATAAGCTACTATTGTAGAAGCTATACTTGCTGAATTAGAGAGAACTATAAGTTTAAAAGGAATATATTGATGAAATGCTAAGGAAAGGCTATATTAGGGTATTTAATTTATTATTAGCCTTAGTAATGTTCTTTATACCTAAGAAGAACGGAAAGGATCGGCCAGTAATTGACTACTGACCGTTAAATGCATATACTATTAAGGACCGAACCCCACTTCCGCTTATTATAGAACTCAAGGATCGGCTACAAGGCAAACAGATCTTTATGGCTCTAGACCTGAAAGGAGCATATAACCTTATCTATATTAGAGAAGGAGATAAATAGAAAATGGCATTTAGAATTAGATTAGGACTCTATAAGTATGTGGTTATGCCTTTTGGTCTTACTAATACACTTATAACGTTTTAATAGATAATTAATAGTGTACTTCAACAATACCTTAACATCTTTATTATATGCTATCTAGATGATATTTTAATCTTCTTGAATAACAAAGAAGAATATAAGGAGCATATCTATAAGGTCTTGAAAGTACTATAAGATGCTAAACTATTGGTTAAACTAGAGAAAAGCTTCTTTTATATCAAGAAGGTAGACTTTCTAGGATATACTATTACGCCTAAAGAAATCCAGATAGAATAGAAAAAGATCTTAGCAGTAGCAGACTGGAAGGTCCTAAGGAACGTTAAGGAAACACAAGCCTTTCTAGGATTTACAAACTACTACTAAAGATTTATTAAAAACTTCAGTAGGATCGCTAACCTACTAATAGAGCTAATAAAGAAAGATCGAACGTTTACATAGAACGATAAGGCGCAAGAAGCTTTTAAACAGCTTAAGGAAGCTATCTTTAGCAAACCAGTCTTAATCATATTTAACCTAGAAAGAGAAATTAAACTAGAGATAGACTTGTCTAACTATGCCTTAGGAGGATAAATCGGTTAACAAGACAACGCAGGAAAATTATATCCTATTGCATTCTACTTATATAAGTTATACAATGCAGAACTTCGCTACCTAATTTACAATAAAGAGTTCTTAGCGATTATCAACTGTTTTAAGGAATTCAGATATTATCTTATAGAAAGCAAACATTAAGTCAAGGTATATACAGATTACTAAAATATCTTATACTTTATAACCACTTATAAACTTAATTGATAATAACTATACTATATAGAATATTTATATAAATTCGACTTTACAATTATCTATAGAAAAGGGACAGAAAATAGAAGAGCAGATACAATCAGTTAATAACCAGACTACAATACTGATACTGTAAAAGCAAACAAATAAATGCTAGAAAAGAACAAAAGGGAAAAATATATCTTTACCTAATAAATGTAAACCTTAGGATAGATAGAAGCCAAAACGACCAAAGAAATCCCAGGAAAACCAGAGGAGTTTATATAAGAATTTTACAAACATCCTATACATAGATATCAAGGAGTAATAAAGACTCTTAAACGACTCCTATAACATAGATATAAGATATAATAAATAACAGTAGAAAAGGTTATCAGATAATACAACCTTTACGCAAAAATAAAGGCTTAACGATATAAACTTTACGGAGAACTTTAACCACTACCTATAGCATAGTAACTGTGGGACTTAATTATAATAGACTTTATTACAAAGCTACTGCTATCTAAAGAACCCTTAACCAGAATCTTCTACAATAGCATTATAGTCATCATAGATCGCCTCACCAAGTTCTTATACTACCTACCCTACAGAAAAGACACAAACGCAAAAGAGCTCGCATATATCATCTACAGACATATCGTCAGCACATACAGATTACCAACCGAAATCCTCTTAGATAGAGGACTAATACTTACATTAAGGTTTTAGAATGCACTTGCAGCACTATTAGGGCTAAACCATAAGTTAATAACTGCATTTAAAGCCCAAATAGATAGACAAACAGAACGAATAAATTAAATGCTAGAACAGTACCTATAGTGTTATATTAATTATAAATAAAATAACTAGATTAAGAAGCTACCATACGCTCAGTTAGCATATAATACTGCCTATAATAAGAGTATAAAGCTTATACTAGCATATACCAATTTTAGATTCATACCGGAAGCCTATAGGGACCTATATAAGCCTAAAACAATTAACCTAACAGCAATAATTAAGAGTAACGATATAAAGAACCTACATAACAAACTTCAGACAGAACTTAAGTTCGTTAGAAAACGGATATAACAATACTATAACCCTAAGAAGGTAAAGGGACCTACCTTTTCAGAGGGAGACATAGTTTACCTATCCACAAAAAACATCACCACCAAACGACCGAGTCACAAACTCGACTTCAAATACATTAGACCATATAAGATTATTAAAAAAGTCTTAAAGAATAACTACAAACTAGACCTACTACCAAAGGTTAGGATCTATCCTGTCTTTCACATTTCATTACTTAAGTCAGCAGCAGATATAATCCACATCAGAATACATAACAAACCTATAGAAGTAAAAGGACCAGAAAGCTATAAAGCAGAAGCAATAAGGGAGATAAAGACAATCAACAAGAAAACAGAATACCTCATTAAGTGGAAAAACTACCCAAAAAGCGAAAATATATAGGAACCACTAAAACACCTTATTAATGCCTAATAACTCCTAAAGAATTTTTATCAATAACACCAGAAGAAGCAGAAGGATTAAATAACGGGAAAGCATTAAAAAACTCATTACCTAACCCTAATGCCAACCAATTAATATCGTTAGGAATATAATCAACCTAGAGATTATAAATTAGCATATCTTTATGCGCGTCCAGACCAGATAAAATCACGTCCTAATCGGCATCCTAAAGACCACAACAGGTAGCCTCGGAACGTTTCTCCTTTACATAAGTACGGATCTTACAAATCCGTAATAAACGACCAGCAGCAAGAGCTAAACGAGACTGTAATGCGGCCATCTCCTTATAAAGCTTAAGAAGATCCTTACTTACTTAATCTTTATTATTCTCGAGTTTTTTTTCCTGCTTTATTAACGTCATGACTAAAAGGAGGGTCAGTAAGGGAAAGAAGGAAGGAATAAATACATATAAGAAGAAGCCATATAGGTACTGTTATAAGACTTCTTAGCCTAAATATACTTACTATAATGAGCGGAATTAGCAGATATAAAGCATTTATCGCTTTTGCCTAAACGGAAGCACCAAATGCAGGGCATATCGGCCTATTCGTTTAAAAACTTAACAGTAAGTATAAGAGTTTGAATTTTACAATCCTTACGAGACGACTGCTTAAATATACAGTTAGACATTATAGGATATAATGATAAAAAGTTAAAGTTGCGACTTACTAAAAAGGAAACAGTATTAGTCAGATAACAGGCCTTAAGGGCAAGACTAGCAGAGAGGGGAGATTGTGTTACGATTATAGCGCTTACGTTATATATACTCCACAAATTCTTCTACGACTACCAATTAAGCTAGGACCGACACTCACAGGACCGATGGCAGTCCAGGACTGCATTGCCCTAGAACTGATAACAACTTCACTTAACGACGCTCCCCTATAACTACATTAAGTATATATAGATATATTTATTTAGCAGTAAATAGAACTTAGCTTACCAGCTATTAATAAAGCATCTTTATATTAATAAGCCTAATACGCATTACTTAATTATTAAGAGACATAATACTTCGCAAGCTTAGTATTATGCCCTATATTATCTGCAAATATAAACCTAATATAGACTAGTTTTTCTGTTTAAAACTACCACCGTTACAACCAGGGTTAGAAATTAGTTTAGTATAGTATAATAATACTAAAAAAAAGTTACTAATAGTATACTAATACTAAAGTTTTTTTTTTTTTGGTATTAGTATATTAAAACTAAAAAAATATTAATTTTAATATATTAATATTAAGATAAAATTAGTTAGTAAATACTAAGAAAAATATATTAATTAATATAAATACTAATAGTTTTTTTATTAAACTAAAATACTAAAAAATATTAAATACTAATTAGTTTTTAAAAAAAGAAATATAATATTAAAAGAAAAAGAAAAAAGGGAATTTTAAAGGAATTTAAAAGAATATAATAATATAAATATTTTATTTAAATTATATTTTTAAATATATATAATATAAATATTATTTAATTTTAATTTTAATTTTAAATATATTATATTTTAAAATCTCTATATATATATTTAATTCTTTTTAGTATTTTTAGTTAGTCTTAATATATTAATATTAATTTCTTTTTAATATATTAAAAACTAAATAAAAAAAACTAAATAATTTAAATACTAAAAAAAAGTTACTAATAATATATTAATACTATTTTTTTTTTAGTATTAATATAAAAATACTAATATAGTATTAGTATACTAAAAGCATATAAAAAAAACTAGTATTTTAGAAAACCCTGTCAACAACGAATGGCGGCGATCAAAAGCAGAGGAATTCATATCTGTTGTGAGTCCGATGTAAGTCTAATTGTTGGGTACTCTTAAAATTCAGTTTACCGATAGACTTCAGTGACGAAAATGAAATTGTCAAAGTCCACGCTGGCGGCGAGGAAGACATCGACGATGTTGTCAAAGCTGCACGAGCAGCGCTCAAGGGTCCTTGGTCGCATCTGTCTGGAACCGAGCGAGGCGAAATGATGCGCAAGCTCGCTGATCTTGTTGATGCTGCCACAAACGAACTTGCTACTATTGACACCTGGAATAACGGCAAAAGGTTTTCGTCTGCACAAGGAGACGTTGGTGAGCTGACAGGGGTGCTGCGATATTATGCTGGCTTCGCTAATAAACAGTACGGACAAGGTAAGTCTCCAAGTTGCACAGCGTAGATCTTATGAACTCTCGACTAACGACCGCAGTAATAAGTACAACTGAGAAGAAGTTTGCCTATACCACTGTTGGTCCGATAGGCGTTTGCGGGCAGATCATTCCTTGGAACTATCCTTTGGGAATGGCTGGCTGGAAGATCTCTCCAGCCCTTGCCGCCGGGAACTGCGTGGTAATTAAGCCAGCAGAGCAGACACCTCTGTCCATCCTATTCTTTGCAGACATCATTAAGAAAGCAGGATTTCCGCCTGGCGTGATCAACATCGTCAACGGTTTGGAAAGAAGGCCGGAGCAGCATTAGCAGCTCACATGGATGTTGACAAGATTGCCTGCACTGGATCCACAGCCACTGGACGCGAGGTAGCAAGACTTGCAGCGAGCAATCTTAAGGAGATCACTATTGAGTCGGGAGGAAAGTCTCCACTGCTCGTTTTCGAGGATGCAGATTTGGACCAAGCTGTTAAATGGAGTCACTATGGTATCATGGCCAAGGCCAGATCTGTACTGCAACAAGCCGCATCTTAGTACATGAAAAGGTGTACCCGCAATTCATCGAGCTGTTCAAGGAGAGAGTCAAATCCTGCAAGATTGGCAACCCCTTTGACAATGATACCTTCCAGGGACCGCAGGTCTCAAAGGCACAATACGAAAGAGTGCTATCGTTCATCGAGAGCGGGAAAGCTGAAGGGGCTACTGTTGCTCTTGGCGGCCAGCGAACTACAGTCAATGGCAAGGGCTTCTACATCGAGCCCACTATCTTCATCGATGCTTCGGATGATATGCAGATCTACCGCGAGGAGATCTTCGGTCCTGTAGCTGTCATCAGCCCATTCCAAACGGAAGATGATGCGATGCGTCGGGCTAACGACACGATTTATGGCCTTGGTGCGGCCATCTTCACGCAAGACATCACTAGAGCACATATTATCGCGAATAAGATTGAGGCGGGAAGTGAGTTGCAAACCTGTTGAGTGTAGAGTTCGTTACTGACATTTATAGTGGTGTGGATCAATAGCAGCAATGACTCTGATTTCCGTATACCCTTTGGAGGAGTCAAGCAGTCTGGTATCGGTCGTGAGTTAGGAGAGGAAGGAATCCGTGCATACACGAGCAGGCGGTCAGTTCACGTGAATGTAGGAAACGTGTTATAGATCAATAACGCGCTGTGTGGTAATCTAAGCTTTCTGTTACAACGTTATGAGGTCAAAAGAAGCTTCAGCTCCACCGTTCAAAGCTCTCAGCCACGGCTCTCGTTGTAACTTTAGTTTGTGTGAACTTTATCAACGTCTTAGAGAGATTGATCAAGACAATTCTAAAAGCTCCAGTAACTTGGAAATACTTGATGTGCTGGCTCTGTGTGTAGATCATATGCTTTGTAGAATGACCGATTTTTAAGGCAAATCATAGCCGCCAATTTTCCCGTGATCATTTGCTATTGTCTTGGATAACTGGCCGATGAAGAGTGGTTTCTCCAAACCTAAATAGTAGGAATCAAAATCACCACTTCTATCAACGAGGTATAAGTTTTCGGAAGCTAAATTATTTCATGAAATTGCATTGCGACCGTGATGAACCACAAAGCCGTTCTGGTTTAAGGAATCTTGGATAAATAACAGATCCCTACAACCAAGCACCTCATATCAATGCAAAATTCCTGAGTTACCTGTGAACCTGTACAGCAAGACCATTAGCCACCCCAGAACCGAGCCCAAGTTCTGACAACAATATGTTTCTTGGCCAACTCATTCCTCTCAAATTCATCGCCAAATCCCTCTTCCCAGAAACGACACTCCTCATCCACGGCCTGTTTCTTACCATCGGCGAAAATGTCGACAGTGGCAGGGGTAACAAACTTGGTTCGCTTGAAGACCTTCCAGAAAATGAACATAAAGAAGAACCAGGCGAGACCGAAGTAACTTGTGATGAAGCCCTTCAGGGACCAGGGCTGAAAGATGTCGAATCCAATAAAGATGGAAGTTGAGCCTCCAATGAAGAGACATAGGTATGGCGTCCATGATGCACACGGGGCGGTGAAGGGGAACACAATGCCTGGGACAGGCTGCCTATCTGAGTTTCTCTTGAAGAGTGACTTTTTGAAGTTGTTTTCGCCTTGTCGAGTGATGCCTTGAGCTTTGAGGGCGCGCCGCCATCCGATGAACACCCATGTCATGGCCGTGAAGTTTACAACCAGTGCGACAGTGGTGAGGTCCAAGAACCAGGAGAAAACCTCGCTTGCGCTGTTGGAAGCTATCAAGAAGGATAGAAGAGATATAGCTGTCACTGCTGTGACACATACCCATGGCACCCCCGATTTGGTGCATCTCAAGAAGATCTTAGGTGCCTGCCCGTCTTGAGCAAGGGAGTATAGAGTTCGGCTCGACGAGTACAAATAGGCGTTTCCGCAAGACCACCCAGACAGCAAGATGAGAAAGTTGATAAGTCCAGGAAGAAAGCCTCTGATGTCGAGACGGAGAAGACCCAGCACCCAGGGAGATGCTGCTGCGCCAGCTTCACCATTCTCGATCGCTCCCAGAAGGCGAGGGTCACGCGAGTTGCAGATGATGCCAACGGCAAGGATTCCGACAACGTAGAAGAACAGAATTCGACCGACGATCAATTTAGCAACTTTGGGAATCGTCTTGCGAGGGTTCCGGATCTCGCCGGCCGAGAGCGAAATGATATCCGGGCCTCCTATCGTGAAGACGGCATATCGCACACAGATGCAGATATTGAGAAAGATGCCAGTGGCTCCTTCAGCGTAGTATTCATGGGCCATATCTCCGTTCTTCCAATTTCGAAAGCCGTAGGCATCGTGATGAGGGTTGCCGCCAACCATTGTGACAAAGGTTGCCATGATAAGACCGAGAATCAAGAGAATCTTCGTGGAGCCCATAATAAACTCAGCTTCGCCATACCATCTACACACAACCGTTAGACCTTCTGTTGATTCCTCACTTGAGGTGAAACTTACCTAACAGCGACCATATTCATGAAGTAGCATACAGACAAAGCTATGGCGATCCACACTGCAGGGTTGATGTCGGTGTTCCAGTATTGCATAACAGTTGCAACAGCAGAGTATTCAGTGCAGACCAGCATTGCTCCCGCATAGAAGTATGTCCACCCCATTGCAAATCCAAGAGCTGGATCTACAAATCGGGACGCTAATTCGTAGATTGAACCTCGGATCGGAAGCCAAGCTACCATCTCGGCAACATTCAGCATGGTAGGCCAAATGAAGCCGAGACCGTAGATTAGGTATCCGATGATGAGGGGCAATGGACCAGCTTTGGACAAGACTCCGCCGACGCCGACGAAGAGACCAACACCGATGCCGCCGGCGATGGTCATGAGCTGAACATGGCGAGGTGATAGACCTCTACGGGTTTGTTGTATATTGATGGCAACATGATCAGCGACAGTTGTTGAGATGTTCTCGACGCCATCTGCTTTCTCAAGCGAGGCAGTCATGGTATCAATCTTGATACGATGAAGAAAGGAGAAAGGACGGGGCTATTCAAAACAGTAAGAAGAGATGAACTGTGCTAGGCAAGAGAGAGCTAATTCCAATGTGGGGTTTGGCGATCTTATAGAGGAGAGGTCTCGACCCAAGCTGCCACGAAAGGCAGCAAGATACAGTAAACAGCCATTATCAGCACTATCAGCTCCACTGATAATAGATCCTGGGGCCCCGGAATCTGGAACCTGGCGTTTGGGAACAACTAAGGCGAACATGGAAACCTCATGTCTTGGCTTGATAACGCTGACTCGGTCCTGCTGATGGTTCGCCGATAATGTCACTCGACACTGATAGTCCATCGTTGGGGTTCACTGATAGAAATGTTACGATATTCAGTTAGTCCAACGGCACTTGGCCTGCTCCACTGACAAACCCTGATTGGAAGTCTGCTGTAAAGGACGCACGATTGAGCAATCAGAACTGGCCGTTCAACAAAGCCCAATACGGATTAGTGTCTTGGTCAGTTGAAGTGAACATCATTTCCCTAACATGGAAACATTTGTGATTCAAGGTCATGCTCGAAACGGCAACACGACTCAAACCATAAACTATGGTCAAGGGAATCAGATGATAACACAAGCCACGCTGTGATACGGAATGCTTGCCCGAAGAAGACTGGCTAGACGTCAGGGGCTTTCTAAGCTATCCGATCTACGGCGGCATAGGTTGATAGCTCAAGTATATCTGTGAGAATAGCATTCTGTCACTGCTATCTCGGCCATCACTACAACCTGTCAAACAAGTCCTATCAACGATGAATGATTCATGCAAAGCCACAGATCGGCTTCTAGCTATTGCCCGCTCGTTACAGCATCCCGATTCAAATTATGACTTACCTGAAGAGTTCATGAGAAAGCTACGAGCTGCCCTTCTATCAGACCCATTGTTGCCGAGACCTAATCCCTCCATCTCGCTCTGGCAAGAACCTGCCCACCCTACTGTATCAAGCATACAGTCTCCAACCCTTCCGCAATACGCTGACATTGTTGTCATTGGTTCTGGCATCACTGGATGCAGCGTTACCAAGGCCCTCCTCGAAAATGATAGTCTGGACTCTCCAAGCCGCATCGTTGTGCTCGAGGCGCGGACTCTTACCAGCGGCGCAACAGGCCGTGATGGGGGCCAACTCGTCTCTCCAGTAGGACATCTCTACAAGTCTATGTGCAAGAGACATGGCGAAGAAACATCCAAGGAAATGTGTCGCTTCAGCTTCATGAATATTCGACGGATCATGGACATGCTCGACGAACTGGATCCTGAGCTCCGGGAGTCCAGTGAGATTCGACATGTACATAAAGTCATGGTTGCTGGGGATGGGGAGACTTGGAAGGCTTCGAAGGAGTCTCTGGGCTCCTTCCGGGAGGCGATTCCAAGTCATCAAACCATCCATCGTGTTACTGAGCAAGATGGCGTAGCAAAGGTATGACTTTTGACTTTTGGGGATTCTTTTCGCGTTCTATTGTGAGTACTGACATTTCTTGTTAAGGAGTTCAATGTCAGAAATGGCCATGGCGTCATCGACCATCCTGCCGGCGCCGTCTGGCCGTACCGCCTCATAACTGGCATTTTCGAACGTCTTCTCGTCCAACACCACGACCGCCTTTCGATCGAGACAAACACTCCCGCAACAGAGATAAAATACACACCTGACACGACAACTAACGACTCTTCTATGTCTGACTACCCATACGTCATTGAGACTCCACGGGGTAACATTCGTGCGAAGCAGGTGATTCACTGCACGAACGCGAACGCTGCCCACTTGTTGCGTTCATTAATAGGAAGACTCTATCCTTATAGAGGGACAATGTCTGTACAAAAGGCTGGTCCTCATCTAGAAAACTTGGGCAACAGTCGATCATGGAGCCACCTGACTAAATCCTCTCTTGATCCCGTGTCAGAGCGGTTTGATGGGGGCCTGTACTATCTCCAGCAGCATGCCACAACTGGCGATATATGGGTCGGCACTGATTACTCTAATGTCTTTGATGTTCTCACGTCTGACGACACTGCTGTGCCGGGTCACTCGATCGAAGCTCTGCTGAAGTTCCTGCCCAAGTACTTTATCAAGGGATGGCCAGAAGATGAGCGACCGGAGTTGAAGGGAGTCTGGACTGGACTGCAGGGTCATACATCGGATGGACTTCCATTAGGAGGAAAACTACCGAAGAGTGTCTCTGGAAGAGACGGTGATGGCGAGTGGATTGCTGGGGGGTACAGTGGGTACGGGATGGACAAGGCTTGGATGACTGGGGAAGCAGTTGCCAGTATGATTACTGGCAAGGGGGTTCCTGATTGGTTGCCAAAAGCGTTTCTTCTTACAGAACAGAGACTTGAGCGAGACATCACGGTGGAGAGATCTGTAGCCAAGTGGGTGTCGATAGCAAAGACTGGCGATTGGTAGAAGACAGAATGTAATATACATATAGAGTGAATCCCGAGAATCTACCCAATGAGTGTGTTGAGCTGCTTCCGAGTGCAAATATCCAACCAGTAAACATCAGATTCCCCCTCGTCCAGAGCACTCCAAATACTCGTCACCAGCTCAAGTATGTTGCTCACCTTTCTCAAGGGCAGGACATCAGCATATGCTGATAATCGACTCTTCACAAAGTTCCGCGCTTGAGCAAGCTCAATAATACTCTGTCACATATACCGTGACTCTTCATCCGCTGCGCCTAGCGATGTGACATCCTGTGGCATGCGACGAAATTCGCTCGAGATAGCGACCAGAATCAAAGGCTGGATGCACCGGCTTCTCGATTCGAATGGTATATCTCGAAGAAGCCCAAGGGTGTAAAGCGCTAGACTCGTCAACCAGTAGTCCTTTTCAGCTTTACTTAGGACCTTGGACGGCGGTCTCGCTGAATAAATGTGATTTGCATCCCAGGGGTTGTATCGTTCAGCCAGAAGGTCAGAAAACACGCGGTAGATTTGTAGTAGACCAACACATCGGTATGCTTCGTCAATCTTGGCCAGGTGAGCTAGCCTTGTTCTTGGGTCGCCTGTATCCTGGATTTTGGACGTGTCGGCAGGTGTGTATGCAAGCAGTCTTTTTTCTAAGCATCGAGCCTCTCGTATTTTGCTCTTGAAGAAGTTCATGTCATCTTCTGTGATGAATCTGATAGAAGACGTTCGAGAACGGTATTGGGAGACGAGATTTCCAACGTCAGTGAGTGTCTTGACTGTCTCTCCCGCCATTCCGACAAAAGGGTGCAGCACAGGTTGGTTGCATGGTTCTGAGGGCCCCATCAGAGTATCACAATCAGAGTTGCCCGAAACATCAGCAAAGAAGGACAGAAGCATCCCCCAGTAGTCAACCGCAGTCTGGAAGAACTTGACCATGGGCTTAGACTGTGTTCCGCAAGTCGAACTCCACTCCAGAACTCGCCTTTGAGTCAAATGGTATCTCTCTTTAGCTAGATTCCCGGGATCATGCCAGCTTGCAGTATGGCATAGGAGAACTGTCGCCAGTAATCTCGCTTCAACATACTCTGCAGTGTTTGGGTCGTCCTCGTCCAAGCATCGAAGGGCTATCAAACGTTCTTGAATCGCAGTGGTGGATAGTTCAGGAAAGACACTTGTTAGACAAGCGGCTGACATGCTTTGCATAGTGTGATATAGGACCTTTGACGACTGCCACGAGTTCTCTGCTACTACTCGCATCAGGTTCGACTGACTATCCCATGCGCAGTAAAGTGGTATGACTTCTGGTATAAAGAAGTCAGAAAGAGCTGTTGGAAGATTGCTCAGTTGTTGTGGTATTGTTAGTGATGAGTGGTGATTAGGAGCTCCGGTGTTGTAAGATCCTGCAAGCGGAGGTGTTGTATTTAGATCACTGCGAGGTTGTTGACCTTCATCGCGTAACCAGCTCATATCAATGGAATGATCCGTCTCCGCTGCCGGATTGTTCCACTGCCCAGTCTTATCCAAACTCGGTGAGCTATCTGCAAAGGCCGTATCATCTGGTATAGTGAGGGTCGCTGAGGGATCTAAATTTGGAAAAGGCCACTGTGAAACTGAAGGATCTTCTCCTAGCCCGAGAATGTCGGAGGCATTCAGTGCAGGGAATGGCATTGGGTTGGTATCTCCAAGATGAGGGAATAATAACAAGGGATCCAATGTTGGCGTCGTGATTTCAATGGCTCCTCCCTCATTCATATGGCTAGTTGAACATGAGCTAGATTGATTGCCTCTTCGGGTCCGAGGCCTTTGGCCAGAGCTGACGGATTTCTGTTGAAGTTGGTTCTTAGCAGACCACCGCAAGCTCAAGGTGTAGCCAGGGCATGAGGAACCTGCATCCTCGCATCGTTTGCACCCTGGCCTCCTTTGATCGCATTTTACCTGGTATAAAGGTTAGGCTCGACTCGGAATCAATTGTGCTATACATACTCTCTTTTCTTTACACTTTGAACATCCGTGGCGGGATTTGGTATAAGTTGGTCGGTATGGAGAGTTCATTATGAGTGGCACAGCCAATGATGCGTCTTTAATCACTGCAGCCAGGATTAAATGCGATTTCGCAGCTGAACGGACTCAGAGACACGGAGGACAGAAAGGGTGGGGTAGGATGCCTGAGGTATCCGGCTAGTTTAGAGCCTCCAGTGCGACCTTATCGCTAGTAAGTTGGCTAGCATGACATTGAACGTAACTGAATCGCTTCATTTTACATTTTGGCAATCAATCTTGTTTCACTGGTCTTGAGTCAAAGATATGAAGAGATACGAGCCACCTGCACATCGGCCAATGTGAGGATTGATAGATGTCGAGGATCCAATGCACTATCGCACCAAGCTTCACCTCAAGAAACTGCAAAGGGCATGTAGTCGGTTGGCTCTGAAGCGCCTTCCTGAGGCTCTTTAGGTGTCTTGCATAGGTTGTCATTGAGGTTGAGGTACGCTGAAGTTGTGCTAGAACTTCGTCTTCCAATGCAGGTAGGCAGCTACATAACCAGCAATTCCCGATCCGTACAAATTCTCGCAGAAGATCTTTGGAAACGCAAACACACAACTATTGCTCCTTTTTTCTCCTGCCAAGTTAATCGTCTAGCCGTTGGTTTCGAGATCAGCATTATGTAAAGCTCCGAAGCTGAATCGTGGTGCTAGTTGCCTGGATTATTAATCATATGGACAGCATAATCATACGACCTTCAAGACAAGACGGTCAATCGGTTGCAAGTTTGCCGACAACAGTAATAGGAATGAGGAAATATCAAGCAAGGAAATATTGCGCGGTAGGGCGTCACACGCCCTTTGGACCCATGTCGGGGGTTATACCCGCCGACCGCCGATGCTGAGACCATTTAAAAAGCCAGCAGCTTTCAAGAACCACCAGTGATCTCAAGCCTGTAATCTCATAGAGTTTTATCTTCAACTAAATATTCATGTCGGTAATCGCCAAATGATGACAACATTCTACAAACTCTCTTTCGCAGGGGCGGTTCTACTGTCCAGCCTCATCACCGTGTCCTGCTTCAAGCCGCCCAACGAGGTTCCACGCGACGGCTGGAAGCAAGACAGTCTCGGGACATATGCCAGCCCAACAGCAGCACGAATCCGACGAATTCTTGCTATCAGCGTTGGTGTTTTCCACGCCCTCATCGCTATAGGCTACGGTAATTCCAGCCTCGTATGTCCTCATCCGGAGAACATAAACTCGAAGCTGTTCATCTGGAATTCATACACACTGGCTTGTCTCTCGATGATCATTCTCATCGGCGGACCACTTCGGCTAACGGCTTTTGCTCAACTCGGAAAGAACTTCACTTTCCAACTTGGACCACCTGAGACTTTGATGACGGATGGTATCTATCGATATATACAGCATCCTGGCTACACGGGACAAATTGTTGTCTTGGTCGTCAACCTCGCCCTATTCTTGCGCTGGGACGGCGCATTCGGTTGCTGGATTCCTCATAGCTTTCGATCGACAATTAGCGGCTGGGGCCCGATCCTTTGCTTGATTCTCGTGTTTGGAATTCTGCGAAGACTTACGATGAGAGTGAAGGATGAGGAGAAAATGTTGAAGGAGACATTTGGAGAGAAATGGGTCGCTTGGAGTCGGGTCACCGCGCGCTTCATCCCGGGCGTCATTTAGTTTAAATGGCCTTGACCCTAGACAGAAGTTCAAACCAGGATACAAATGTGTCATTGAAGTTGGGAATCAGGAGAGTGTACTTGTTGAGCTGCTGTATGAGATGTTGTAACTTACTTGTGTTGTATCGTTGTTGATGGAAATTACTTCATTTGTATATATAAAATAATGCGCCCAAAACTCAGGTAAAATACACATGTTTTAACACTAGATTACAGTCAATTCGAAGCTTAATTAAGTTCATGATTGCGAAGACAGTCGAGTAGTCCGTTTCTGCTCCATCGGCGAGTCATGTTAACTTCAACAGGAATAAATCACGCAGCAGCAGGGCGTAACACAAACGAGGTCAGCATGTCCCATGCCGGGTTTGTAATTGCTCCGAGTCCAATGAGCTTCAATTCTCCTACCTGTCAATCTAATTGAGTTAGTCCAGCCTAACTGGGAAAACGAGGCATACTGACCGGCAATGTCGGCACGGCACGGTATCAGTGGGGCAGTACCGTCCAAGTATAAGTGCTTAGCTGAAATATTTGACTCATTGGGAGATTTTCTCGTCTAATATTGCTGAAATCTGTGTGATAAGATGGGTCGACTAACTAAGTTTCTGTCCGATGCGGAGAAAGCAGTGAGGCAAGCTGGGAGGGATTTGCAGCAACAGCAACAGCCTGCTGGGTACCCACAACCGCAGCAGGGCCAACAGACTCAGCAGTATCGCAACTCTCCCGGATATCCGGCGCCATATCAACCTCAGCAGCAGCAGCAGTACTACCAGACTTACTCTCCTCCGCCGCCGCAGTCGCCACAGCAGCAGCAGTATCATCAGCAACAACAATATCCTTATCAAGCTCAACAGCCTTCCCAAGGGCTACCAACGAGCAGAAGCGCTCCTGTACCTCAGCATGCCGAACCTTCACCCAGCCAGGCTGTCTCCAACAGCGGTCCCAGCACTCCTATGCCATTAGGAATCCAGCCAGTAACTGAATGTATCGACATGCCATTCACACTACCGACCTACTGGTTCATCCACAGTTCCTGCCCAGACTTTGTCATTTGCAGTCGTTGCTACGCAGACCGCATTCTCAACTCACCGTTTCGAGACACATTTATACCAGTATGGCACGATGACAGATTAGAACGACAGTGTCTGTTTGGAACACCCCGCGTCAAAGACTATCTTTGGCCTGCTGCTCTCTCATCAATGAGCCTCGATAATATGATGAGCTTCATGGCCATGAGGCCTGCCCTGGGTCGTTGTCCAGAGGATAAATCAGTCGAGGGTCAAGAGTGGTATTACCCGCCAGATCGACCAGAGATGGCAATTTGCAAGCCATGCTATGAAGATTATTTCAAGCATACCTCGTTCTGCAATAGGTTCAGTACACATAAGCCTCAGGGTGCGGCAAGTTGTGATCATAATCTTTGGTACATCCGCCGAATGCTCAAGCTCTATTCTCCTAACAACAACTGGACAGCATTCACCACGGGGTTCTATAAAAGACTGCAACTTCCGCCGTGTCCCAAAGCGCAGCCTATCGCAGGTCCAGAGAGGACTTGGTTTATGTCCTCACGGGCCCCATCGAACTTCTCGGTCTGCGAAGCCTGCTACTGGGATTACTTCCACGAGTCTACTGAACGTCAGTCCTTTCGCACAGCTCGTCTTGGGCCTTCACAACAGGCATCGTGCGATATGGCACAGGCCAACATGCTCATCCCGATCATTCGAGCGGTTGATAAGGGCAATTACCCCAGATTCTGGAGCACTCTTCAAAGCCTCTCGCAGCACCCGCCTTGTAATCCTCAGGGCGCAAGTGGAATTTGCTGGTATACGCTTCCGAGTGATCCTCCGGAACTCGATGTTTGCGCGACGTGTATGGCTGGCACTATAGCTAGCATGAACATGACTCACTTCTTCAAAGTCAAACAGTCTGTTGGACCATCTGAGGCCCGTCTCTGTTCATTCAACCTGCCAGGATATCCGCGCGGAGTCCTCTTCTTGCAGAGGTTCGCCGAGGCAGCTTACATCAACGATTGGCGACCACTCAGCGAATTGGCAGTGGATCTGAGTACCGCACCAACGTGTCCCAAGATCGACCTCGAGTCAGCAAAAAATCGTCGATGGTGGGGATGGGATAATGCCCATATCTGTCAAGAATGTTACATCGTCGTGGCCAAAGGTACGAAACTAGAAAAACACTTCACCATGAAGGGAAGCCAAGTCGCTGAGTCCCGACTTTGTGATCTCTACTCCCCTCGAATGCGGCAGCTATACAAGAACGCTTGCAAGACCCAAGACCTAGCATCATTTTTGTCTTTCGCCCGACAACGTCGCGAGATCTACCTCCGGACAGTCCCCGAAATGAACCGCATGCTGGCAGCTGCCAAACACGCTCTCAGCCAGGCTCAAACACTTGGTCTCGCAGCTGTGACGTTTAGCGCGGCAGGAAATCTGAACGCAACTAACTTTTATTATGATCATACGGTGGGAAACTCGACGGTCGGGCATGGATATCAGAATGAGCAGCTGTTGCAGGCGGCGATGGCGGATCACTCGATGCAGCAGGTCGGGGCTGCTGCGACGGGTCCGGCGGCTGTGGCAAGGGTTGGTGCTCTGGAGAGGATGTGGAAACAGGTTGAATAGAAGTATTTCAGTGCTTGTTGTAAACGCCCAGATTGAGGTGTTGGCGAATTCTTGCTTAACAATCGTGATATTTCACGTGACCTCGTTAGGCATCGGTCTCTCATCTCAAGACAAACCAACAATGACCAAACTCCTGCCTTACCTTACTCAAGCAATCGTTGCCCATTCACCAATTATCATTCAGTGCTGTAATAAGCCAGTATATTCTGCACGGTAACCATAGATTTCCAGTTACAGATAACGACTTACTACGAGCAACAAACATGTGCTGTTCAAAAGAATCTCCCCCGCATCTACCGAGTGTGTAACGTTGAGCAACCCTTCATTGATCATGAATTGCACCGCCGATCCAAAATGTCAGGAGGCTTTCTCTGTCATTCAGAGCGAATGCCTACCACATCCTTTGGGGAAATTTCTACGTTCCTTTATTGCGAATGTGTTGAACCCTGCTTCCGCCGCCACTCATGTCCTCAGTCACTGTCGTCCGGGTCGACAGCGCAAGGCTGATCTTCTTGCCCTTATTTCAGATTGGACTTTTATCGTAGAGTCAAGTGAGTTTGCCTGGATATCAATCTAATACCCTGGCTCTGACCATTCTAGTTACAAAATATGGGACTACACCACCTGCCCCCGACAGCAGAGCCCAAGCGCAAGTTATAAGGAGAGATGGAAACCGCTGCTGCATCACAGGCAAGCCAGGGAGCTTGAAGGACCCCTTGGTAGTGATGCCCGTTATTCTCGCGCCATCCCGCTGGCTTGAAGCCGAGGTACATGGGATGATCTTCCTACCAAGCTTGGCCATGGCTGACACGTTGACTAGCCGAGGATCCACGAAATGCTTCGAGCCTTCTTTGGTCCCCCTTACCTAGATTGGTGGAAAGCTTATACAGAACGATTGACGCGGGTAGATCCCATCGATGCCCACTGGCTTGTGCGCAGGTCAGCTGCCGAAGCTTACAGAAATGGGGTGGTGAAATTGCATCGGCTACACCCATCAATGATCGAAGTAAGTCATATCATTAGTCTGGCTCTCCTTTATTAACACATCTCAGTACAGGGTTGCTTGGTGTCTAATTGGGACCGTAGAACCAGCGATTGATGTCGATGGCCAATATCCACTTCTCGGAGACCACTCACGCTCGGGAATACGCAAGGTCGACGCACGTTTCATCGGGACCCAGGCCCGCTTGGCCTCGAGCATGCGATGGCTTGAGGTCAAGAAACAAATCACGGATAACGAAACAGCAATAGCTCAGGCGGGGATACAACCTTCGGCTTCCAGACCAGGTTTCGTATCAGCTGTATTCCAGATATGCCGCACAATCATCTTGACAGCTTGGCTTGTCACCCCCCATTTCATTCGATTATCGACATACAAAGTATTGCGAAGGATCGGACACCATCTTTATGGAAGTACAAGTTCCTTGGCAGTTAGCCGTCTGCCTTTCGGTCTTTACCTGAAGGCCACAAACGAAGGGGCTTTCAATGAATACAATGCGCTCGGACTTGTTCACAAGTATACGTCTGTTCCAGTTCCTCGGGTTCTGGATCTGGTAGCAGACTCGCGGGACACGTATCTCTTGATGACCGGTCTTCGTGGTGAGCCACTCTCCAGAGCAATGGATATGCTCTCCGACCAAGACTGCCACGAGTTCGTCGACTAAATGAAAAGCTTCATTTCCCAAATCCGAGAAATCCCTCCAGTCGGTCCCAAAAGCCACATATGCAATACTCTGGGCGAAGCATGCAGCGACCCAAGAATTCGAGACGGCAATCCCATCGGCCCCTTCGAAGACGAAGCTTCTTTCAGTCAATATCTTCGCCATCCAGATGATCCTGCTCGAAGAGGTCATCAAATTGTATTTACCCATGCTGACTTAAATCTGCGAAACATCCTTGTGGATAAAGTCACAAGGCTAGATGGGACAAGGGGTTGGGCGGTCTCGGGGACCGTTGACTGGGAAAACAGTGGGTTTTATCCAGAGTACTGGGACTGTACAAAAGCGCAATTCGAGGGATTCAGGTGGGATGAACGCTGGACTAGGGCTTTGTTCGAAGTATTCCATCCTTTCGGAGGTTATGCGAAGGAGATTGAAGTTGAGAAGAGGAGCTGGAGTGAAGGCGATGGCGCGTTTTGAGACACCCATCGCTCCTGAAAAAGGCTTGAATTATTTGATACACTTTTACTTCACATCCTAATTTCAGAATTCTACTACTTCTTAGTTGGTGCTATTGAGCCTCCTGTCATCCTGCATCACTACAACTCTAGATATATGAGTTACAGGACATGGCGATCGTGATATTCTCGTTGTGTGGCGAATGTTGAACCACTAAGAAGTAGCAGGTCACGAAAGTAACGACTCCCACACTCGCTGAGCCATAATGCTGGGTTTCAGGTGTTTTCCCTTCTTTGGTAAGTCTTTGAGCTGATGAGCCGATGGGCGAAAAGAGCCAAGGCCTCGTCAGTGATACTATCAAGTTGATGTCGGGCAAACCTGCCGGTGGTCCTGAGTTCGATTCGATTGGAGAGCGGGGCCTGTAGTGCGCATATAATGTTTCCTTGCGATCTAAGAATGAGGATTGAAGTAACAGTGCACAAGAGACTCGGCGATGTGGCCAAGGAAGGGTAAAGAACCACACGAGGTGCTTCCATTGCTAACGAAGGCCGCTCCAGTCTTCCAAATGAGATCCATTCGCCAAAGAAGTCCACAGAATATTCCTCATGTATGATAATGGAACATTCCACATTCCACGCATGAAAAGAACTTTTGGCTGAGTTATTCGTAACGACGTCGATCCTCCGGCTTAGCTCTGTGCTGTCACACTGTAGTACCGGCCTGAGGAGGACATAAGACCTTGAATGTTCTCACCATCTTCACTGGATCAGTGCCGCCTAGTGAAATGAATCTGTCTGGCATTGCCCATAAAACTAATTCGAAGTTGATTTGACGAGCTCCTGTCGGGTCGCCAGTTTGAAGTCCCTCTCCATCGTTGTCAATCTGCAGTGTGGCCGTGATTCGTGGCTCAAAGGCCTCTGTTCCATCCTCGGTATCTTCGATCTCGAAATTAATATCAAGGATTTCGCTGTTGGTTCGGGTTTCGATCTTGATAGGCGACACATTGAGGGCTTGGGTGTGAGGGAGCCTGTAGCTATCATCTCTACCTAGGGTATCGCCAGTGCGTCAGTATTTAGATATCCTCATATAGTTTCTCGTGATTTTACCCTTGATATCCCTGGAACCACAGACATCTAAGTTAGCGCCTTCGGGTGCGTTGTCATGAAGTGTTGTCCATATCTGCGACCAGGAACTGTTCAATAGAGTTGTTCGATCCGAAGCGTCCGATACCGACCCTGTCCATATCGGAAAAGATTGTGTATCACCGCTGATTAGCTCTCCGATCTCACTCATTGGGCTGGAACCCCTGTCACTTCCTCTATCGATGATCGCATCTGCCCAAGGATCTGGACCCTCAGTTGGCACTTCTTCCTGTAGAGCGCGAAGGGTTACACGATAGAGCTTGATCGGCGCACTCGGTACCAATGAGAGCATTATATCTGAACATTTTGACTTTCAGTTTCACCGTTGACAAAGAACTACTGCACTGCTCACCTATCTCGTATGGACAACGGATCAGCCACACATCGTCCCCCACTGAGGCTATTGCGCGAGACACCTGAATCGTGCAGGATACGTCGAGATCCAGATCATCGTAAGTAACCTGTGATGTCGATATAAGCGTCAGAGTTATTGATTGACTCCAACTGTCAGCAGTTTCAGAGTTTGTCGCCATGGCATGGTTGTTGAAGTGGTCAAGGACGTTGGCTCCTCTTAGCGTTTCGGGTACTCTGCGGCTCCAGGGACCTAATTCAGTGCAACGCCCGCCAATAAGAGCTCATGAAGGCTAATTAGTGCTCTGTGTCAGGTGAGAGATCACAAGCTTAGGCCAGGCATGAATCCGAAAGCAAGGAAAGTGACGAGTATACTTTTATGATCTTAGGAAAGTTTCGGATGAGTTTAGTAGATCTGCAAACCAAATACCGGTAATTATCCTTATTTTTATCGTAGTTTAGCCAGTGCTTTTGATCATTCTAACCGCATTACCATATAAACATCATCGGTAGCTACCTGGACGTAAGAGATGATACCTGTCGAGAGGCAGGCACCTTCTGCATGTGGTTGTAATTCTTGCTGCCCACAAGACGAGCACGTTGCTGTTTATCAGAAATGGCCGGTAATCACTCCTACTACCAGCCTCATTGCTTTAAGAAAAGCAGAACGGTCGCGGGCCAACATCTCATTAGATTGGCATGCCTCGCTCAGGCTTCAATGAATTACGTGGTGTTTCATATTGAGGCGTTTGATGGGCCTAGGACGGGTATCAGCATGATATGAGATGGCTGCTTTTTGCGTCTGGGCCGAGGAGTGATCATAATCACTACAAAAGGCAGCGAGACAAGTGAGTATATCTGTGTCAGAGCATCTAAAAATCTCAGGAAAACGCTTTGAAGACTGACTGATACGATGCATTTAGACGATTCCTGGGAACTTAGAGTGGGTGAAATGGCACAACTGGGCAGGAGCACAGGCTGCCTGTGCCCGGGGTCATCTGCATGCAGCTGTTAGTACCTAGGTAGTTACTGAGGTGATGGTAACTTACTAGGTGTAACTTAAATAAGTCTATAGTAACTGATAATAATATAGTTTTATATAATTATTTGAGAAATTTATAAGATTAATAAATTATTTATAAATATATATTAACTTAAATAAAGATTTTATTTATTTTCTTTTTAATTTCTTAAATTTATAGAATCCTTAGACTATTCATCCTAAGTCCATGCTGCCTTAGGTACCGAGCTACCAGGGTTCCTCCTACCCTTGCTCTTGCATCTCACTCCCACAGCCTCGCAGCCTCGACGCGTCCTACCTAGGTACCTTTCTTACCTTATAACGCTGTTTTCTGTTCTTCCTTTTTATTCTCAAGACTCCCGATCCCCTTTCCTGTCATAAGCGATCACCACAATGTCTATCGAAGCGCCACCTGTGCCTGCCCCTCAGAACAAACACCCCGAACGCACCAACGAGCTTTTTGCTATCTTTTACGAAGAAATCGGGAAATGGCCCTGGGAGGTCATCGACTTCAGCCCCCGAAAATGGGGCCAGAATCTCGTCTCGGTCTTCACGAGACTTCTGAGTGTTGACCTTCCTAAGACTGACAATGTGTCACTGAAGGAACTTATCGACTACTTGCATGACAACTCTGCGAGTCACCCGATGGTGCAGTACCGATACCAGTTGAACATGATGCTCGTCGCAAAAGCAACCAAGTGGTTGGCGGAGAAGCGTGAGCTCGTTGACGATCCCGATTCCGATGCCGACTCTGACGGCTCCATCCTCAACGAGCCTCAAAACGTCACCCGGCACAGAAGGCAGGCCCGGGCTGTTCGAGCAGCTACAAGATCCGCGCGTAAGTCCCTTTTTTTATTCCTTCTTTTACAGAAGAATGACATTAGGCTAACAAGGCTAGCAATTCGAACCGCTCGAAAGCGTCCAATCAACTACAGCGACCGTCACCATTTCCAACTTCACAATGTTGACGGTTCTGAAGGTGACTCCGATGGAGATGGAGGAAATGAGGAAACCCAGGAAAAGGTTGAGCTCGAGTCAGCAGAGCCTCCAGCCAAGCGAAGGCTGATGGTCTTCTTCAACTTTTCACCCGAGAACATCCAGGAGCTATCTAAACTCATGGTAGGAGCCCGACACTCCATAATCTTGGTCACAGGATCTAATGAGTTAAATTAGGGACCTACTAGCGGCATCGGCGAGCCATCTCGACACTCGACTCCACAGCGAAATGCCGCTGGGGAAAACCGCCCTCTTGATACACCTGTAAGTTACTATTATAAGCGACACACACATAACAAATCTAACCGAATCGTACAGAGCCATTCACCGAATGACGTCCAACTTGCCTATGCCGACCATCTCAAGCGCGAGATCGTCAAAGTGGAAGAAGATATTACCCGCACAGAAGCTAATATCAGCAACTCGTCCCGGCGCCGTTTAGGCTATCTCGAAACCGTCCGCAACAGCGCCGAGGCGCTCGAAAAGGCCACGAAAGAAGCCACCGAGGCTTCACAAGTGGTCCAGCACGCAAGAGCACTCTGCGAAGCCGATGCTCAGGTCGTCGAAGAATTGCGCCGTATAAGCAGCGATAACCCAAGAATTCTCACCGAAGAGAATTTCCAGCACTTCAAAGAAAACACCCCTGCACAGAAAGAGAGAAGAGACGCCGAGAGTGCACTGCGCGCCAAGGAAAAGCGTCTAAATGATGTCAAAACCAAGATCCAGATCGCACAGGCCAATGTGGACCCATTGAACAGCAAGATTGAGGAATTGTGTGGCGTACTTAACGCGAAACAGAATGTGCGTCGAAGCCTCGTGGCGATGCACCGGCTTGTGGCAATGGGTGGGGATGAAATAGAACAGATGTTGGGGAAGAATGGTCTTGGGGAGTGGCTGAAGGAGCAACAGGTCTGAGACGGTTATTTTCTGTGGCGAAATGTGTCGAGTGTTGGGTTAGATTTGTATGAGCTTTTGATAAGAGACTTTGAGAGTGTTATCCTAAATACTTGAAATATTTAGGTAACTTTGCCTTAAGTTATCCATAAGTTATCCCAAGTTTAGTGTCTTTTGTTAAGTTTATATAAGGCTTAGGACTTTCTCTTATTTACTGAAATTCGGGCAGCAACCACTGGCCTGTTTGCCAGATCGGATTGTGCAAGGCGGATACCCGAGATTAGGCTCAGGTAGCTAATAAGACTCCATTCACGCCAGAAGCGTTCAATGGAAATAAGTTCTATTAACAGTAGCAAATCAGTCAGGGCATTTTAGCGTTGTGTTCACGAGTGTGAGTGGTAAATGTCCAGTGTATTGACCCCCAGCCAAAGAACCTGCCCTGCCAAGTGATTGGTACGCCGGACAACCCATTTCTCCGTAGCCTTGTGCCTTGGATAGTCTCTGGTTTGGTATAGTAATACAGTTGAAGAGTTGAGAACAGTATGAGAGATATTTCCTCGGCCATTTCGATCTTCTAGGTGGTCTCAGTAGTTGGGAAGGTTGCCTGGTCCTCTGTATCCGTGCTGGACAGTGTTTGCTCGGTGGCCAGAGTCTGTTCCTCAACGTTTGGGCGTGGTCAAGTTCTGGGGCGTGAGGACCAAAGCATGCTTCAACAAATGACGTGGGAACGCTTTTACTCTTATCTGACCACCAGATGGAAACACGCTTCTCGTTGGGAATAAGGCAGGTACTAATACCATTTTCGTTCTGTCGCCATCTCAGATCTGAGAGGATGAGTTAGAACACCAGTCCTATCGGGAAGTCTCGTTACTACCCCTTATATTGAGAAGTCTAGCTACCGCAACCGCAGTAATAAAGACCGCAAACATAAGGATCGCAAAGATTGACATCAGGATGGAGACTGCGACCACGACCGCAGTGGCAAAGACCGGTGGGACAAGCAAGGATCTCAAAGATGGACATCGGGATAGGGACCAAGGCGATCCCAACCGCAACAGAGAAAGAGAAAAGGATAAGGATCGGGAAAGTGGCAGGGACCGATACAGAGAACGGCATCGCGATCGCAATCGAGGTTCGAGATATAGCAGCAGACGCAAGTCGATTGATACTGGAGACTCTAAGCCTATCTGTGGTCCTCGCAGTTACGCCACGACTGTGATAACAAAGAGTGGCTGTCTTGTTTGTAGTTAGAATATGTTCGAACAGTCTATAGAATTTATGTCATAGTGGCATGTGCATGCCCACTCAAGACAAAAATATGCATCTTTTCGCACCGGATTGATTTTGGCGATTCAAATATCTTCATGCCAAAGCTCTGAGGTGTCGGACGCTCAGCCCTTGTTGACGACTCCCACCTGAGCTTGCTCGAATCGAGAGACTTCCGAGGTTCAAGAGCGAAACCGAAACCAATATCACATATAGCTGTCAGAATAAATTCTCACTTGGGCTATCATCTGGGTAAACTGCGATCTAAAGAGAGAAACGTTTGAAATATTTAAATGCTCGGTATTCAATACACTCAGGTTTGACAGGGCATTCGCCCGTTCGCTGAAGCTGCTGTCAAATATGCTATCTAACAGTCGCACTTCAGTCCGGGCACTTTTTGCCAACGTCACAAGGCTCACCGGCGGGTGTTTTTACCTTGCCTACACCGATCCATGAGGGTCAGAGACCTCCACTCGCAAGTAGTGAATCTGCGAAGCATTTGCCGCATGAGCAGTCTTATTGACCTGAGGAGTTGGTCGCAAGACCCACCCCGCCACGTTCATCGGCTCAACGGATAAACTATTTCTCCATAGCGAACAGCTCCACTTCATTTCCATTCACCGACAACATCCACAATCAACTGTTCATTCACGCTCGCTCCATCGCGCACGCATGTTCAACCCAGCAGCGTCGCAATGTTTTCTTCTCCCATCATCCAACTCTCTTCAACTACGCCCTGCCAACTCGTCGCGTCCAAGAAGAGGCGGTAAATCGCACTACAGACCGCCATAAAATTCCGACTTGTACCCTTCAAACGAGTGCGTTTCGCGCCTCCTTTGCTGGAACAACCGGGGTCTGTAGAAGGGATCTCTGGTCTCGCAGCGCGCTGGAGATTCAGAGATTGCCTGTGCAGCGAAGCTCACCCTCTTCTGGTCGCGCGCGTTTTGGCCGGGGCAGAGCTTACGCAGGCAAGTTCCATCACCGTGTGAAACTGACTGGTTGCAGGAATGTCGACTTCACCATGTCTTGACGTCCATTTCACTACCCGTGCTGTCATCGAGTGGCAGTCCGATAACGAGGTAAGGCTCAGAGTCACCTCACCCCGATTGAATCCTCAGTAACAAATTTGCAGTCAGATCGCGCGACACGGATTCTGGCTAAACCCGATCCCAAAGTCAGCTCTATCACGTTGACGACCTGGTTCGATTCGAAAGGTTCTCTCTTCGACATACACATTCCCTTGAAGCTCAAAGGCATTGACAGCACATCCGATATCACACTTCGAGCCTGCGCTTCCTCCATTATCTCTCTCGATGTCATGAAGAACCCGACCGTCTCTAGTGAGGTTGAGCAAGAGTTCAAGTCCCCAGCTCTTTGCCTTCGCTTCCAGCTGAGCCGCCATCTTGACATCCTCGTCCCTATCCCTGCTCTCGAGCCAATACGTCCAGCAGGTCGAGCACGGTCAGGTGTTGTGCTCGATGCCATTCGCGAGTTTTCTCGGGCAACTGTTTTCACCATCTACATCGAGGCGCGCAATGCATCCCCAAAGCTCCAGTCCGTCAGCGATGCTGTCAGCCAGGGTCTTTTCAAGACGTCCTGCAGCAGCCGCTTTCAACTGGCTAGCATGTATGCCGGTCTTGGAGCAAAGATTGTCCAGCTTGGTATAGATGAAGCTCTTGCACCGCCGTCATATGAAGAAACCGAACCCCCGCCGCCGCCGCCTCCGATCGACCCCAAGCCTGACAGAAAGCGTCCACGACAAGATACTGCGACCGAACGCACCGAAGAAATCGCTCTGATCTGGGCAGAGTTGCAAATGCTCAAGCAAGCGAAAGATGCAGACGGGAAGCGCATTGCGTTCTTGGAGAAGGAGAATCAGGAACTGCGGGAAACCGTAGCCAAGCTCCGAAAACAATATGAAGCTTTTGACAAGTCACAGCAAGATATCCACCACAGCTTCGGAGCCCTCGAGACCACGGTCGAGAAGAATACGCAAGAATTTGAAGAGAACGTCGGCAATGAACTAGCAGAGCTACGTGAGGATATAAGTCAATTAGATCATCAACTTTCCTTCATTCAAGAAGGACAAGTTAGCGATGAGTCTGTGGCCAGGATAAAAGACGCTGTACTGTTGGATATCACGACCCGATTATCAGGGGATTGAGCCCAGGCATCAGCATCCTGTGTGACAGGTCAGCTTGAGACCATCTTGAAGATTCCCTCGCGGCGTCGACCCACAAAGCAACACGCTTCATTCTTGGCCTTGTCCTTGAGCCCGAGAGCTATTGCTAGCCGCTATGGTGTGACTTTCGGCACTCCCGAACAATTGCCTCGCGCGGATAGGTGATGCGTCGGCTCCGTCAGCCATGTCCCAGTGCGACAACGGGAACAGCGACTTCGTGGTGAGTCTACGCACAAGCCGCGTGTCCTTAATGGACGGCAAGACCCTCGAAACAGGCTTGGGCCTCCATTTGGCATCCCGGACCGGGAAACTCTGGCCAATGCTCGTGATCGCAGATGCAGACTGGGACGGTTGACAACACAATCTGCATCATGGCATCATGTTCATTATTAGTTGGCGCTACGCCTGGACTTTTCGAGCCTGAGCCCGCCGGCGGCGGTGGTGAGTCGAGGCAAGTTCCCTCGCGGCCTTCGATAAGCTAATCTATCAGCAGCAAGAGTTGACTACACCCTGGAGCCACCGAAGTAGTACCTGTCGAGATGAACAAACAAACCGATGATCAGGCCTTGGATATACAGTTCCATGTAGATTATACCAACAATACATCAGAAGCATTTGAACCGTGCATTACGAGCGTTTTGCAGAGTGATTATGAGTTGCGGAAACAGAGCACTCCGATGTCTGAAATGCTCGTAAGCTCACGCTCAACCCTGTCATCTGGGCGATTCCAAATGATTTCAATGATGTCATGTATGTCATGTATGTCACGGCTTAAGCAGCCAAAATGGTCAAGACGTTCCAATTCGGCGTACAGTCTCTCCTAGTTGCTGCCATTGTGCGATCTCAGTCGCTCGTAGGATCACGCATTTTACGTACAAGGCACGCAGAAACGGAACTGCTACGTCATTCATCTCCAGGTCACGATGCATCTTTAGTCTGGGGCTCCAGATGGGTCCTGATGTAATGGAGCCTCATTTTATGGAGATACAGGAAATCATCGACGATCCAATGGGGATTTCTAAACAGGGTTTGATTGCGGGGATTATCTCCAATTGATCAGCGGACATGGAGGAAGTAACTCGAGTGTACAGTAGACGTGGTCAACACGTGGATGAACAGACTACAATCCAGAGGCTTTTAGCTTGGGGAGATGAATGGAGATGGAAGATGATCATAAAAGTTCATTAAAATATATAGGTACTTATCAACCAAGGAAATCCGTGACGCCTTGTCCAGTCCCAGCCCAATCCTGCATCTAAGCGCCATGCTTTTAGTATAAGTATAACACAACCAATGTCGGGAATCTCTATATGCTACATGCTGTCTCTAAAAATGAAATGCTCATCTAGTCGTCGCGCGACTTGCTGTAAGAGCCGGTACCACCAAGACCGTTCAGGTCGACATCAAGACCACCAACGCGGGTAGGTCGGGGTGAATGCTCAATGCTGCGCGCGGGCATCTTCTCCTCCTGGGAGGCCTGCACGGGCGCATCGGTTTGCTGCTCAAGGCCCATAGAGGCGAGGAACTTGATGGCATCAGCCTTCTCCTGCTCCTTGCGGGCAGCACTCCATTGGAGCTCAGTGGAGGCGATGTCGAGAACACGGGGAAGAGCCTCAAGGGCCTTGTGGGAGTCCAGGAATGAGAGACGGGTGCGGCGGGCGATGATGTCGGGGATGGTGCAGGCGGCTTCGGAGCGGATACCGTGAGAGACCTCAGCCTCGATGAAGGGAAGAGACGAGACGAGACGGGTGTTGAGGGCGGGGGAGATGGAGAGAAGAGTCCAAGCGCGGTCACCATAGTTGTGAGCGAGATGGTCAGCGATGTCAGCGTCGATGTTGTAGACCTCCATCAATTGAGAGGCGAGAGATGTGGAGTATCCGTGGGCGCCGATGAGAGGAACGTTGCGCGTGCAGCAGACGCCGCGGGTGGTGAAGCCGGAAGCGCCGGCGCCGCTGATGTCGGGAAGAGCCACGGCCTGGGGCTTGAGATCGAAGAGCTTGATGGCCTCGTTGACGGTATCCTCGGCCATTTCACGGTAGGTGGTCCACTTGCCACCAGCGCAGGTGAGGAGGCCGGAGGGAGAGGTGGTGATGAGATGGCTTCGGACGAGGGACTCGGTGTTCTTGGCATTGGGGTTCTTGACGAGAGGTCGAATGCCTACGAAGTGTTAGAAGTGTTCGGGTCAGGTCAATTGAGATAATGCGACTTACCAGACCAAGCAGCGAGGACGTCCTTGCGTGAAAGAACAGACTCGGGTGTCAGAAGCTTGCTGACTTCCTTGAGGATAAAGTCAACATCCTGCTGTTGAGCAACAGGCGCAGCCTCAACTTCGCATGGGTTGTCGGTGGTACCAGCGAGGGTGTAGCCCTGCCAGGGAAGAACAAAGATGACGCGACCGTCTGAGGTAGCAGCGTCGAGAAGACCAAGACCGTTGGGGCAGATCTCCTTGGGAAGCATGATGTGCACACCTGAAGCGGGAGCGACAATGGGCTTGCGAGAGGGATCGTCCATTTGGTGGATGGCATCAGTGAAGGGGCCGGTTGCATTGACGACACCCTTGGCGCGGACCTTGAAAGGCTGAGCGGCAGCGGCATCACCGTTCTTGGAGGCGAGGACATCGCGGACTTGAGCGCCCATGATCTTGCCGTCCGCATCCTTCTCAAGACCGGTTACTTCAACGTGGTTCAGAACAGTAGCGCCGTAGTGAGAAGCAGTCAAAGCGAGAGCGACGTTCATTCGAGAGTCATTGTGCTGACCATCGTAGTACACCAGCGCGCCAACCATGTTCTCTCGTCGCAGCAGAGGGAATGCCTCGAAGGCCTTGTTCTTGCTCATGTAGTACGAGCTCTCAAGACCCTGCGACCCAGCGAGGAGATCGTATGCCTTGGTACCAGCCCAGAAGTAGGGCGCCTCCCACCATTTCTGGAGGGGTAGTAGAATCGGCAATGAGCTGGACAAGTGAGGCGCAATGTTGAGGAATGTCTTGCGCTCACGAAGAGCTTCCATGACAAGCTGCAATTGGCCATAGTCGAGGTTCCAAACAGCCTTTTCTAGATATCGCACACCACCGTGGACGAGCTTTGTGCTCTTTGAGCTTGTGCCAGAAGAGAAGTCATCGCGCTCTACAAGGGCGACTTTGAGGCCACGGGTGATGGCGTCAACAGCGATACCGGTTCCTGTAGCGCCGCCTCCGATGATGAGGAGATCGTATTCTGTGTCTTCGCCGCTGCGACGAAGTTCAGCGAGTTGTGATGCGCGGGTCTTTGTGGCGCTGAATGTAGGGGGCACGATGCGGTTCTTGTCATCGCGCTTGAGGGGGACGAGGGGCTTGTCGACGATGTGTGTCTTGCTGCGGGAGGCGTAGTATGCTCCGCCGAGGGTGACTGTTGTTGTGGCTGCTGCTGCGAGGAGCAGAGGGCGCTTGAGCGACCGTAATCTTTGCTGCATTTTGTGTGTGTATGTGTGTGGTGTTTGGGGGTGTTGTTGCGCTGGGAGCGACTGTTTGCGCGGGAAGCGTTTTTGTGTGTGAAAAAGCTTGGGGGAGGGAGTTTGGAGAAAAAGATGGAGAGTCTGGGTCTGGGGAATAAAGATCAGATAGAATAAAGAAAGCGAGTAAAGCTTTGGGGTTTATAAGAAGTAAATCGGAGCGCGATGATCGTGGAGAATGAGAATGAGAGTTTCCATAAATTAGCGGAGTTGGAAATGGGTCTGCGAATGTTGATTCTGATATCATGGACTGCTTAGGTTTTAACAAGTTTCTACGAGGGACTGGCACATGAGAAGTCCGAGCGAAGCAAAAGGCAAGTTTGGGGGTTCAGACCCAGAATTAGGCTATGCAATGCATCATCTGTCTCTGCTTGATTCCAAGAACGCTCGAATTACTCAAAGCATCTGACCCGCAAGCGAGATGCGAATGCAAAAAAACGGTGCAATAGACGTCGCGGGCTGGGTCGCATGGCTCAAACAGGAATTCCGGGAGGTCCTGAGCCTCAAGCCCATTAATGCACGTCGGGCTGGCAACACCGAGGAGCTGACGTCGACACGAAGGATATCACCCCTGGTCTTATGCAGCTCGGGGTGAAGATACCGAAGCTAAAGCTCGAACGTGACCGAGAATGGACTAGCCATGCCTTGGAACAATAATGAACCGTGCCGATGTGCGGAGAGTTACATGTGCTGCCCCCACTGTCGGGGAGGGGAAGCCCGAGGTTCTAGACTTTGGGGTGAGAGTGAAAAGGTTCAAGAAGGTCATGAGTTTTCTGGCTAAAAACGATGCGGGAAATAAACTATGCCTATTCATTTGCCTAACGTCTGCTCTGTATGTGTTGTTCTATGTACGGCTTGACTGACAAAATTGTTCCACTAATCAGAAGGCGAAAGACAGTCATACTATGATTTGACTGGTGGATGTTGTGTCGTTATGGCTTGAGAGCTGAAAGACATACAAACTGACAACATGTCCAGCTTGAGCACTATTGCAAGCATACGTTTGCTCGTGTGCAACTTCTGTACTTATGAGTGCTAGAAATTGACGATGCATTTTTGTGTTCATTACGAGGTTCACAGTGCTGTTGTGCCGATACACATGGATCGAGAAGTTGAGAGTGCTGAAGGTCTAGGGTTGGTGGCTGACCGTTAGCAGCGATAACCATCCAATTGGTGAGTACATCATTCAAACCACCAGCGACACAACGAGGACGGCCCCCGCGGACTGCACAGAGATTTGACTTTTGGTCAGGATACGAAAAGTCTATCCAAAGGTAAGACCCCCATCAATACATACTTTCATGATCATTACAAAATTTTATCATCTCTATTCGAGGTGTACGCTTCTTGTACCATCGTCCCCAAGATACCTGGCTCAAATCTTGGGAATTGACGCGATACCGATCCATCACCAACGCCTCTTCTCCAACAAAGACAATCGCTTTTGCTATCATAGGATACTGACAGCTTGCAGATTTACACAGCCAAGATTGCATCATGTCATTGTCGTTCACCGATCACGATCATTTGAGAATTTTGAGTCATAGCATGAGCTTATTATCTACGCTATCAACGAGCACTCAACACCGCCGCCGCAAACAAGCAACGAGCAAAAAAAGAACACGAACGCCATTCTCGTATGCTAGGCTAGTACTTCTCGAACGAAGAATTTGCCATTTTAGCGCCACTACGGTCTCGCACCTTTCGCCCTCGCCACGAAAGCACTCGGATTTCCAGGGATCGAGTGCGACTATACGGGAGAGGAAGCACTGTAAGTGTTGGACCACGTTGAGCGACGAGGGCTCAAGAGACGTGGGAGACCCATGCCTGGCGTGTTGATCGGACTGGGTCCTGTATAGATAAAGACATCATACAGAAGGCCGCCGAAAGCACATCCCATAAAGGGTGCCACCATGGGAATCTGGATTCCACTGTCAGTTGATATTAAAAAGAAAACTATTGGCATTGGACTCACCCAGAAGTAGTACCCGCCAGCAGACCAGACCTCACTTCCATATCCGATCATGTACGAAACCAAACGAGGACCAAAATCACGAGCGAGGTTGATGGCATAACCAGTCTCCCAGCCGAAGCAAGCACCAATTCCAAAGATCAGGAAGAACAAGCCAAGCGGCATCAAAGGACCAGCACCAATGTTAGCGCTATCAGCCATAGCGAAGATGACAAACTGCAGAATCGTGCTGGCGATGAATTCAGAGAAGAACATGCCAGTGCGTGTCATGAATTCCGCGGGATACGTGCAGAATACACCGGCAGTTGCATTCTCGCCAATCACTGTTCGAATTCCTGGTCCGCCTTCATAAGCATCAAAGGCAGACTTGTAGTTGCCATACACGACGGCAGCAGCACACATGGCTCCGAGGACTTGAGCAACGGCATACACGGGGAACTTTCTCCACGGATGACCTCTGAATATACAGTTGGCGAGAGTCACGGCTGGGTTCAAGTGACCACCTGATTTACCGCCAACGTATACTCCAAGCATGACACCGAGGCTGATTCATGTCAGTATGAGCTCAATTGGCCGCGGCAATAGCGACTTACCCCCATCCCCATGAGATGCTCTGGTAATCTCCCTTTGTTCCTCGACTGAGAACAACCTGAGCAACGACGCCGTCACCAAAGAGGAGAAGAATGAAAGTACCAAAGAATTCTGAAAAGGCATCTTGGCAGTACTCCCTCGCTCGACTCCAGGCATACTGCTCAGGCGGGGGAGGGATAGTGGGCGGTTCACTCGGAGCCTCACTGTACTTTTCATTCTGGCTCATCTCGACTTTAGTGGGGATGGAAGATTTGTGCACAGAAGATTCAGAGATGGAGTCGTTCATGGTAGGGATAGGCATCCTAGAGTGAGCCTGTGAAGTTTGATCTTTTGAGACAGAAAGAGGAGAAAGGTTGGCGGATGCAAGAGAGACAGGTTACACTGAGAGGATTGGCGTCATCAAGCATCTCTGGGGATCACGTTACAATTTATGGTCAGCAAACGAACTGAAGTCTGGGTGTCTTTTTTGCCCCTCATCTCATCCCCAAGAGATGGGATCCTCTTTCTTGCTCTCGGCCTCGGTATTTGCAAACACCACCCTTTTCATGCAGAGCATACCGAAGCCCGCGAGGTTATCAGACATCACCAACGAGGTGGGCTTTGCAAGCATGTCGATCCTCCACTGCGTTAGGAAAGAGGAACACGGACACGGGGAGACGCAGCGACTACACCCGATGAATCGAACCATGGTGCGGTGCGGGCGATACGAAAGCTTGGACGGCGGCGGTGCAGAGTACCAGCGAAATGCCGCTCGGAGGCACACACCGAGCAAGAAATGAGAAGTAACGGGCGTTCAGACGTGGATATCATGACCGAAGAATCTGCTCTGATCAGGTTGCTTACACCGAAGGCCGGGTGGGATGGAGATAGAGAGGGGGGGCACGTTCGAGACTTGTGTTTGCATATTTGACTCCACAGTCCGAGCCAAACCCCGGATCGTCGTGCGAAAAGAGAAAAGGATTTGCACATCCGCTTGACCGAGGTTGGCTTGGCTGGGAATTAAGGTATGGTCAAGGTGTGTTTATCCCAGACCCGCTAGCATATGCGCCCAGTCGAGCTTCTGGAACAAGACTGCGGGGAAACGTAACATGAACGACCCCTCTCTCTCTATCAGATGTACATGGATGCATCGGTAGGTGTTGTTGGCTGTGTTTCGCTTGTTAGATCCCCGATGGTGTTTGTCTTGTGACATGGGGTCTGTATTTCGGTATCACCAAGCCGAGGCTTAGCTAGCTTACTTGCAAGCTACATCAGGAAAGTGACGTTGGGTGTGCGTGAGACGAAATGCCAATGCTGTGAAGGATTTCAATACCCCGCAGATTGATCCCAGGGTGGTGGGAAATGCTTCCCCGAGATGCACTTTGCATCTGAAATCTCGGTGTTTGTTGCCCTCAGTGAGCCCGAGATGGGAGATACTTAAACACCCCAATATGATACGCTTTTGATCCTGCAGTCCCCAATCAATTTTGCTGTCGTCCGCTTCCTTTTTGCTACTGTACCTTCTTAGTCACTGTTGCATTCGCTCTCCCCGGATCTGACACGTTTCCCCGCAATTTGCACTGCACTCTCACTATGCCTATGCTCAACGGAAAACAAAATCCTACCTTTATTGGTGCCATTGATCAGGGTACGACAAGTTCCCGTTTCCTGATCTTTGACACCAGTGGCGATGTTGTAGCTACTCATCAGCTTGAATTCAAGCAATACTATCCTCATCCTGGGTAAGTTCGTCTACTACACGGCACGCGATTGATTGTTGATGTTTGGTTTAGATGGCATGAGCATGATCCTGAAGAGCTCATCAGCTCGGTTGAGCAGTGCATTGATGGTGCTGTAGAAGCTTTTGAAGGTCAAGGCCACTCTCGTGAGCAGATCAAGGCCGTTGGTATCACAAACCAGCGTGAGACTACTGTTGTCTGGGACAAGACCACAGGCAATGCTCTGCACAACGCCATTGTCTGGACAGACACGCGATCGAAAGATCTTGTCCGTCGTCTGAAGCGTCGTCTTGGCGCAAGCGAGTTGATTTCGCGATGCGGAATTCCTCTCTCCACATATCCCTCCGTCAGCAAACTTCTCTGGCTTCTCGAAAACATTCCCGAAGTCAAAGATGCTTACGAGCGCGGTGTTCTCGCCTTTGGAACGGTAGACACTTGGCTCACGTACAAGCTCAACGGCGCAACGGAGCGAGATGTCTACGTTTCAGACCCGTCAAACGCGTCGAGGACCATGTTTATGAATCTCGAGTCTTTGCAGTATGACGAGGATATTCTGGACTGGTTCAGAATCGATGACAAGAAGATTACGCTGCCAAGAATCGTGCGGTCGTCTGATAGCAAGGCATATGGCACACTTGCTAAGACCTCGCTCAAGGGCGTCAAGATCACTGGATGTCTGGGCGACCAGTCTGCGGCTCTTGTTGGACAGAAGGGCTTCACCCCCGGTCTCGCCAAGAACACATATGGCACAGGCTGCTTTCTGCTCTACAACGTCGGTTCCAAGCCCGTGATCTCAACACACGGACTTCTCACAACGGTGGCCTTTGACTTTGGCGAGGGCAACACCATGTACGCCCTCGAAGGCAGCATCGCCGTCGCGGGCTCAAGCGTCAAGTTCCTGGTCGACAACTTTGGCTTCATCGAGTCGTCGGCCAAGCTCAGCGCCCTCGCGGAGACGGTGGAAGATAATGGTGGGTGCACCTTTGTAACGGCCTTTAGCGGCCTGTTTGCGCCGTACTGGATTGACGATGCGCGAGGTACAATCTTTGGTATCACGGCGTACACGCAGCGCGGGCACGTTGCGAGAGCGACGCTGGAGGCGACCTGTTTTCAGACAAAGGCCATTCTCGACTCGATGGAGAAGGACAGCGGACATGCGCTGACCGAGCTGGCCGTCGACGGTGGCATGTGCAACTCGGATCTCATCATGCAGGTACGTAAAGGAATTACTCTGGGAACCCTTGTTCTTTGATGTTGCTGACACTTTTCTCAGACCCAGTCTGATCTTATTGGGATCCCTGTCAACAGACCCGGCATGCGTGAGACAACTGCACTAGGTGCAGCTATTGCAGCCGGCTTCGCCGTCGGCATTTGGAAGAGCTTTGATGAGTTGAAGGAGGTGAACACCCAGGGTCGTACCATCTTCAAACCGCAGATCGCCGAGGAAGAAGCGACGAAGCGGTTTAGTCGTTGGACCAAAGCGGTTGAGATGTCCAGAGGATGGGCCAACGAGTAGTTGATTTGCTTTTTTGTTTGTTAGCTCTGTAGTTACATTAGCTTGATTAGGACTGATTCTGTACTAGTATGTTTTACATGGATGGCTCGAAATACTGCTGCCTGATGGAACACCACATGCACCAACCTGTACGAAGAAGGTAAGGTAACCTAATAAGCCCGACGTACAGTAGCGTCCACGACTCGCCACGAGGAAATAGATAAATATGGAACTTGGCTTGTTCTGGAACAACCACTAGACGCTTTCGTGACCGCACCATAAGCGGCTCCGCACTTTTATTGTTATTTCCGGGGGAGGGGGGATCTGTAGGCCATCAGCTGGTGTGGCATCCCTCACAGGCTAGACACGCTACAGGGTGCATTTTGCTAGAGAGTCAAGGATCGGGATGTATGTCGTCAAAGCCCCGAGTGATCCGGCAAAAAAAGATATTTCCCTCATACTGCAGTCTACATATGCCGGTGTTTGTGGCCCGAAGATGCACATGTCACATGCGTAACGGCAATGCAAGGTTAACCATAGATAGAAGGTCTTTGTTGAAACCACGACATGGATATCGTTCCTTGTCCACCAACAGCAGCACGTAAGGTACTTGGCTTTTGGCTAGACAGGGATATCGCCTGCAACGTTGGCCACATGCATTTCTACTGGACACCGCGACTGTTTTTGCAGTGTTGTAGTTCCATTGCATTGGCACTTGAATTGAATGGTTGCAATCGATTGATTGATGCAGTGATATGTTGCTTGGTGTTCAGTGCATTTGCTTGGGCCTCTAGCGCTTCTGCTTGGCCATTGACTTCACTAGACCCAGTATTAGTCAACTAAAGCGATGAGATTGCTCCACTCTGTGACCTCCAGATTTTCTCTTCCCCTTCCCGCGGCTCGGCCTTACTCCGTCGCATCCAATCTCATAATACCCCAACAACACGTCTCACCTCCACTAAAACCCGATAACAGGCCGTGCAAGGTTTCTGCTTATTCCTTTCCCCAGTAGCTTGTTTCCCCAGACTGCGGAGAGAGAGCAAGATCGACATGCCATCCACGTCAATGAGCGGACCCTCAATCGCTGAGGAAGAGGCAAATTCCACGCTGAGCAACGACGATGGCTCCAGCGGCGACGAGTCGAGAATGACCAGCGCCGGACCTAACAAGAAGCGCAGGAGGGAGAAGCATCAGAAGATATCGTATGTACACTCTGTAATGATTGAGAAATTGAGGCTGAATGGCGTGATAGCTGTGAGATGTGCAAGGCGCGTAAGGTGAAATGCGATCGCGCTGAGCCTGCTTGCTCGTGGTGCGCGAGGCATAACAGAGCTTGTGTTTACCTTGAAAGGCAGAAGCCAGGTGCTGGACGCAATGGCTTTAGCATTGAGCTTGAGGCAAAGGTCAACAGAATTGATGCGTTGCTTCAAGCATTGGGAAGGCGAGTGGAGGAACATATCGTCCAAGACCACTCTTCAGTCGGTTCTCCAGGTGTATCGCCGTCAATAAACAACGGATATGGACCACCGCAAGTGGATGGGAGACCGACGCCCAACACAAGTCTCCCAAGACAGTCTTCTTTCTCGCAGGCGAGATCCCCAGGCATCACAAGTCCATGGCAGCCTATAAACAGCCAAAACACTACTCAGTCGCCGATGCAGACTCAGCAAGCCGCCGGTGCACCAACACCAAGTCAGTCGAGTACTGCGCCAAATCCATCTGGCGTAAGGCGAGATCCATCGTTTCAGTCGTACACGATTGATCTACCGCCGCACGACATCATCTACAGCCTCGTAGATCTCTACTTCAAGCACTGCAACACATGGTGTCCTATCCTTGAGCGAAAGACCATCTTTGCCACCTTCTTTGGCTCAACTTCTATGGAGGAAGCGGACCGGATATTACTCTACGCGATTGTGGCTACTACATTGCGCTTCCTCAAGGATCCGAGATTATCAACAGAGATGAGCTCATATTATCACAAGGTCGCCAAGCACACAGTACAGCTGTACGCTATGGAGCATACCACCATTCCTGCCATGAGAGCTCTTGTCATCATCACTCTGGATGAGTTGGGGACGTCCAATGGCCCTCGTGGCTGGAATCTACTGTCTCTACTGGCACAAAACGTCAGACAGCTTGGCCTGAGCGAGGAAAGCAGCGTCTTTCTATCGGCGGATGCTTCCGAAGTTACGCGTACCGCTTCATCTCACAGAGTCACCGCTGGCAAACCCGAATCTTGGATCGAAGACGAGGGGCGGCGACGATTGTACTGGATGATCTATGTTCTAGATCGATACGCAACAATCGCAACAACAACCTTTGACTTCATCCTCAACGACACAAAGATCAACCGCTTCCTCCCCTGCTCCTATGACCTCTTCTCAAAGAACGTGCCAGTCGAAACACGCTCTCTGAGTCCCTACAACGAAAAACAATCACCAATAATGACATACCTCGTCAACAAACCCGAGAACCTCGGCAGTTTTGCTTACCATTGTGAGATTCTTGTTATTGTGAGCAGAATCCACGAGTTTCTCAAAACGCCGGTTGATGTCACGTCATCGAGCGACATGGCTGAATGGCGCAACACATATCGCAACCTGGACAGGACACTGGATGGTTGGTTGCAGAGCTTACCGAGCGAATATAGCAAAATATCAGCTCTTTGCCATTCTGATCCTGCGAGTCGCGTGGCGAATTGGTTCATGCTTCACAGCGCGTATGTCACGGCTGCTGTGAGACTGCACTCCTCAGCGGCCTATCCAACAGTTCGTTCTCACATTTTTGTTCCTTCGCACTACGCCATGCAGAGATGTTTGTCTGCTGTGCAGAGTCTGGGGGATATCACCAAATATGTTCTTGAAGCTGATGGTCTGAATCTCCTGGGTCCCTCGTTTGCCTTCTCGCTTTGGGTTGCTGCGAGATTACTTCTTGTCCATGCTGCGACAGTTGGATGTCCCGTGGACTCGCAGATTGACTTCTTTATTGATACGTTGCGCGATGTTGGACAACATTGGGAGGTTGCGAATAATTACTCCAAGATTCTGCATCGTGTTGTTCAGAGAGTCCGACAGGGTGACATGAACTTTTCAGCGATGCGAAGGTAAGTCCTAGCCTCTATCAGATACGGCATCTCAACTAACGATCATAGGAGTGCATATGACCTAGTGACCCTTACATCGACAGCACGACACTCCGGCCTTGAGCCAACATCAACACAAGCTACGTCCCTCAGCGAGCTTGATAGCATCGACGTCTTTGAGTTCTTCAACTGTCCTAGAGTGTCAGCAAGCTCAAGCAGCCAGTCACAGCTACAGTTACAGCCGATGCGGGAACCAACCAGAAACAACGGAGTGCCCGACCCGGAGGCTGATTGGTTGGCCTTTGGATCCCCGTTCAATCAGGTGTAGAGGGGACTTCATTTCGTTTCGATCATTTCAGACCATTTGAGTGCCTCGCGGCGCATACAGCCATATCTTTAAAGCGGTATTTTGTCTTGAATATTACACCTATATTGTCCAGTCAGAAATGAAAGCTCCTGATATTCTGTAAATTGATAGCCGAGCATAATGATCTGCGTCACTGAGTCAAATATGGTCCGACTGGGATGCCCAGCAATATGATCTGCAGCGATGGAACAGTATGTTATCTTCACCCTCTCCGTGCTTTTTTCGCTCGCTTCAGCCATCGTCGATCAAGTCGAACTCAATCGGATTGTAACGGGAGGCTAGGTCAACCTCAAAGTCAATCCAGCCCCAAACTCAATCTCAGCCTCCCCGATGCCAAGCACAATTACATTCCAACGTGCGAATCTTGACGAATATTGTTTCAGATCGTAACATGTAATCATTCATCGTATAAAAATCGTTTCCGGCATACAAATCATCCCAATCGTCCGAAACATGACTACATACAAACGCCACAACTTAAAACTCCAAAATCAAATCATGAAACCTAACTATCCCAGATAGCACCATAAGCTGGAACACCACGCGTTTCCAAACCATAAACCACCTTTTTCGTAATCTTCTCATTCGCAATAATGATAACTGCCTCAGCTTTGAAGCCCTTTACCAGATTGTAGCCCATCTTTACCAAGTCAGGTCTCCCGAGCTTCTTAGTATCGTGGATGACCGCGTTAGGAATGCGCTCGCTGATAGTCTGGCAGATTTCCTCCCCAAAAGTTTCTTCAGGGTTCTTAGTTGACCAGATGAGTTGTGTTGGACATGTTGGGTTTTGGATATGTCCGAGAACAGGACCGATGCCGGAGCCTGTTGCGATGAGGACGACGCGGTTGAAGAGGGTTGCGATGCGCATCACGCCGCAAGTTGGGACTCCGCGTGTCCAGATGTGAGAGGGGCCCTCTTGGATAGTGGACTTTGTCCAGTCGCCGGCGTTAGAGACGACAAGGGAGTAGCCCTTAGATCGACCGTTGACGGCTTCGGGAGCCGGGATAGTAGCGAAGGAATGCCACTCCTTGAGAGGTTTGTGAGAGAGGCGGGTGAAAGAACCGTTGACGGGGACAGTGTAGTCAAAGTGAAGCCTGATAGCGTGGTCTGACAGTTTCTCAGCTTCAACGGGGACTTTTCGGAGGAAGCACCAGGATGAAGCAACACTGGCTGTCGCTACAGCCAGTAACCAGAAGGCAGGGGACTTGACACAAGACTCTCCAAGAGTAGTACCAGACGGGGTGTTGTCGTGGGCCGAGAGCACGGTTTGCACCCAGAAGAGAGCGAGCATAGTCCATCCAGCAAAACGGTGAGTTCTCTCAAAGAGATCGTGATAGCGCTTGCGCACTGAAGGCCAAGCCATTCCGATCATGCCAACGAACATGGCAGACAGGATCCAAGAGATGACTTGAGAAGCGATGGATAAGGTGCCCCAGTTGGCACAGCTTCCAAACGAACAAGCTATGTCGGCGATGTTCGTCGCAAGAAGCCATGCTCCTGCGCTGACAGCTGCACCTGAATGGACTCCGCCGAGATGGTAGATCTTTGCGCATCGGGTCCTGATAGCAAGAGGCCAGGTTTTAGGGACGCTGCAGGTGATAGTGTATAAAGCGTTGATGACGAATTCTTGACGAACAAGAACAGCTGTGGTCAGGTTGATGGCTGTGATGATACCCATCCACTCTCTGGTGATACCAGTCAAGAGGAGAGCAATAGCCGCACCGATGTTGAAGAGTCCAACAAGGGAAAACAGTCGACGATAAACAATAAGCAGTCTGTGCCGCAGTCCTCTTGCATGCTTAGGCATATCCTTCTCAGGGAGAGCCTTCTCAAGGTCATACTGATGCTCATTGATAAGTGTTGTATCACTCGCATCAGAGAAAGAACTGAGCTGCGTAGCACTCGACGCATTCGAATCCATACGCGTATGCAAGACAGCAGGCTGGGGTTTCCCAACCTCCACCATCTCTTTCATTCTCAAAGCTCTCTTGTCTATTTTTCCATTTGCAGTCATAGGAAGGCTGTCCAGCTGGTGGTAGTGTGTTGGCATGGCGTAGTAGGGCTGAAGGGTCTTGAGATGGGCTTCAACAACGGCGATAGGGCAGTGGTTGGGGGTGATGAAGGCGTGGATCTCATTGTTGATTAGGAGAGCAGTTGCGGCTTGAACGGAGGGACAAGATTTTATGCAGGCGGTTACACCGTCGAGTTCGACGCGGAAACCTTTGACTTTGACTTGGTCATCTATCCGGCCGAGGATGTGGAGGGTGCCGTTGGAATTCCATTGACAGAGATCACCAGTGTTGTACATATTTGATCTGAATTTGAGGTCAGTATCTCGTTCAAAGATGTCATGACTTGAAAACTTACCCGTCCTGGGTGAAAGGGTCAGGTCTGAACCTCTCAGTTGTCTTGTCTGGCAAGTCAACATAGCCACGAGCTACGCCTGCACCACCAGCCCAAACATTACCGACTTCTCCAACAGGCACTGGCACAAGAAACTCGTCTAGGATATAAACATTATTTCCTGGCGTTGGTTTACCGATGGAGAGAGGCTGGCCTGTTTGGTGCTGGTGCATGGTGTTGACGATGGTGGTTTCAGTAGGGCCGTAGCAGTTGAAGTATGAGACATGAGACGCCCATAGGTCAGCGAGCCTAGACAGGTTAGTTGAAATGAGAAAGTGAGTGAAAGTAGGGAACTGACTGTTGAGAGCTAGGCTCTCCTGCTGTGGCAACGGTCTTCAGTCTTGGAAAGTCCTGTGGGCTGTACTTTGAGAGGATGCTTGGTGTGCAGATGAGGACATCAATCTAACACAGTCAGTGACTAGCCTAACATTTGGATATAGTAAACTCACTTGTTTGAGGGCTTTTGACCAGTCAGAGCCCCGCATAACTAAGGTCCCGCCATTTGATAGGCAACCAAGAGTCTCCCACGCAGCTTGAAATTGTATGTCAGTATGGTCCTTCGTCTTTGGATAAATGGTGTACTTACCCATATCAAAGCTGACGTTCAGCACTTGGCCAACACATGTTCCTGGACCAATACCCAGATTGCCTGGTGCTTGACATAACAGGTTTGTCACATTGTTGTGAGTGATGTCGACTCCTTTTGGTGTACCTGTTGTGCCTGATGCGTGTGAGTTAATGAAAGGTAATATAAGGTAGATCAACATACCTGATGTATATATCACATAGCAGCCATCCTCAGATTTACTCACTGGAGTAAAGTCTTCAACACTTTGTTCACTGTTGCCTTCATCCTCAATAATGACAACATCTGTTACATCCGCGGTCGAGATACGGTGTGCCGTAGCCTTTGAAGACAGAGCTATCCTTCCTCCAGTCTGTTGTAACACAAACCGTAAGGTCTCATCTGCCACTACGCCTCCATCAAGAGGCACATATTGAGCTCCACAAGACAAGATAGAAAGTATACCAACCAACATACCAACACCACGCTTGACAACAAGCGGCACACGATGTCCCGGCATGACGCCCAGACTTTGTAACCGTTGCGCCAACCGGATGCTTCGTTCAGCAAGCTCACCATAGCTTATCTCAACAGCTGGCTCGGCAGATAGATCTCGTGCCGCAGTTGCCGAAGGCTGTGTGGTGGCATAGTGGAAGAATGCCTCTGTGACAGTTGAGAAGCTAGGTCTACTGCATGTACCTCGTGTAAACGAGATTGGCACGGCAGCTCCCCGTGGGGACGAGACGTCAAGCACAGATGATGCCATGCTAAGCTTAATCTGAGGCGTGTGCAAGATAAGATGAGGATCGTCGTACAATTCCAAATAGACAGAAACTCAAAAAGATTGAGTAGGAGTCGGGTCGGGGATGGCGGGAGATTGTGCATCAAAGATTTGAAATTAAGGAGTTGCATAAGAAACATCTCTCCACACACAAAAAGAAGGTCTGTTCTTAAATAGAGCCAAAGCCCTCCTCCCGCTTTTTCCTAATCCTACCCAGCCTTCTCGTCATGCTTGGCAGGATAGACCCAACACCAGCAACCGATGGATCGTCAACCAGTCAGCTGCCCTTTCAAGTTGCACCTCGGAGGAGTACACCCCCCCAACCGCCCCCAGAATGCGTCTTTTTTCCTCTATCGAGATACAAGAAGGATCCGCCTTGAAACTCCGGAGTCGACCTAATACGGTAAAATCTGTTGGTAAACAAGAAACCATCTGCCAAGCTAAGGCATGTAGTTCCAGATAGCGTCGAAAAGAGGGCCAGCTCAACAGGTATACCACATGACAGATGGGGCAAGAGTCTGTTTGCTTTGGTCCGTTGGTCCTAGTTAGGTAGGTTGGTAATGTACCTGAACTCATCGAGGTCTTTGACCGAAAAAGAACAACGAGGCGTGTGATGTGGTCTGCGTGCGTACCCCTGTAGGTACAGCAGAGTACCTACGTACGTACCGCAGGCCCGCAGGCCCGCATGTAGAGAGGGATCTGCCCTGCCCTGGCTATGGCCATGGATCCGTGGCTGTGGATACAAGGGTTGGCCAAGACATCTTTAGCACGCGGGTTCTGCGGGAGCTGCAGGATCTGAGTTCGGCATCTGCAAAATCTCACATGAGCCGAGATGATATGAGGTGGAGTTGGGCTGTAATGTAAGCTGTGCCGCTTTTTCGAATGAGGTTATCCAAGATAAGCCTAAATGACAGATAGCTTACTCATCGCCCATATCGCATAAAATATAAAGAAAAACAAGTATTTGAACTATTTGAACAGGTTTTTACCAAAGGCTCACCGAAATCTATCAGTCAAATCTTACTCAACAAAAGGATCATCGGGTCTAAGAGCTAAGCATGCGAACGGCTCGACACTTGGACCAAGCCAACGGAATGACAGACACCAAGATCGGCACGAGAGACAGCAGACTACGAGATTTGCACCAATACTTCCCGACGTGGAATTAGTCCCCGACCACCGCCCTTTCAAAATGCCTCAGCCAACACCAAAAATCTGCAGTGTCTCACTCTCTGCAGTGCAGGCTGCTCTTTCTGCTGGGTTGGCCCCAGCCATGTCTCAGTTGAATCAAAGACACTTTTGGGGGTCCCCACTATCGATTTAGTGATCGACGCAGCTAAGCTCGCGTTATTGACGTACCCGAACTATTTGATCCAACGCAACCCGACAAGACGGTCAATCTTGCCAAGTGCAGTGATTTCAGCTACAATCTTTTCTCGCTCTCTTTCTTACGATCCTGCCATCGATATCGATCTGATCATGGAGGAGCAATTGGTCCTTGCGTCGACGCCTGCAGAAGGCGTACGCGTCCTCGCGTTAAACAGACCCTCCAAGCGAAACGCCCTCTCGCAGGAGCTCATTACCGTGTTTCTGGAACTGCTGAACACGGCGTCCAGGGACGATGGCGTGCGAGTCATTGTCATCACCGGCAGCTCTTCTTTCTTCTGCGGTAATGTACCCTGTCCTACCCATACCCATAACCATACTCCATACTCCGTACCCATGGGTGAATCCACACGCCACGCCACAGGGGTATAGCCCCCCCGGCACTTGTCGCGCTCTAAGTTAGTGGCAGGGCTAAGCTGAACTGGAACTGACGTGCCAATAATCCTTTAGCGGGAGCTGATATCGGGGAGATCTCGCGGCTCGATGCGGAAGACGCGCGGGGCTGTCGCTATCTGGCGGACCTTTGCTCGGGGATGCAGGCCGTGCGCAAGCCCTTGATAGCGGCTGTTGAGGGAATGGCGGTGAGTTTAGTTTTTGATCCTACCCGAGGTGTTGGTTGAGGCTAGACTGACGATGAGCTTTTGCTGGGGTTGACAGCTCGGAGGGGGCTTTGAGCTTGCCCTCATGGTGAGTTGAGCGTTTTTTCCTTTCCGTGGACGGAACCCGTGGGTTGCTGACGTCTCACAGTGTGACCTGATCTTTTCCGCGGACGGAGGCCGCTTCGGCCTTCCAGAAGTCAAGATTGGTCTCATCCCTGGCGCTGGCGGTACACAGCGTCTGACAAACGCTGTGGGAAAGTACAAGGTATTTCCCTCCCCCCAAACCTCGTGCTACCTTGTGCTGACATGCGTGATAAAGGCCATGCAGATGATCCTCCTTGGCCAGCCCATATCAGCGGAAGAGGCCCGGTCCGTGGGTCTTGTCGCACAGCTGTATGAGAGCGGCAAAGTCCTCGAGCACGTTGTGAAGGATCATGCATCGACGCTTGCGGCCCTGAGCCCCACGGCGCTGGGCTTGGCTAAAGAGGCTATCTGTAGATGTAAGTGGCCATCACGTAGTTTGTGTGCCACACGATGACTAACATATTCATCATAGCTGATGATTTGGGGGTCGATCATGAGTTTGAGAGGAGTTTGTATTACTTTGCGTTTGGGACCGGGGATAAGCGAGAGGGTGTCAAGGCGTTCTTGGAGAAGAGGAAGCCAGAGTGGGGGCCTAGGTAACTGTACACGTTGGGCCTTTTGTAAAGTGGCAGTATATGCATGACGCGGCGATGATAGTTAACGCTCAAAGTGTATGCTTCTTTTGAGGGATATCATTGGTGCGCGGCATATGCCTGTATTCTCTTGGACGATCCCGCGCTGCCAAGCTTTGCTGTCAGTTGATGATATTGTCGATCGTTGATTATCAATCGTCCAGCGTGGTTGGCCTCAGCCGAATACTACTGCTCAGTTCTCACATTTTTCAGGCTCAACATTGAAGTTGCCAGCCTCCCAACACTTGTGTACACAGTCAGCACTTCTACACTCTTGCCAATCCTTCTTAGGTGTCAGGCTCTGGCATTGGTATATCCACTCCTACTTTCTACCCCCTCATGAATATCAGGTGATTACCTGTTCATGTCAACGTGTATCATGCGCTACTAAACGTCGTCCCGTCTCGCCTCGGTACGCAAGTCAAGCTCGGAAACCATTCCAGACCATACAGTACTTTTCAAGCCCCATGCAACAGTGGGCCATATCTGCAAAGAAAGGGTGATGCAGGGGTCTAGGGTTAGACCGGATCTGTTGAAGAAAACTAGCTGCATGCCAACACATGGTCCGGCACGGCACGTCGTATAATCGAGATGTAACCTCGTTTGAGCAAGACGACGTACCTAGTTCAGTCTCGACCAACAATCTTGATAGCGTTCTTTGATTTGCTATCGTGACAAGGATCTTGTCAAAGCGTACATCAATACCCTGTTGGCACAAATGCTAAGCCGTCCGGTGTTAACCAACAATAATTCTCGCGGCCTTGCCCAGTCTTGAAGCCACGATACGAATGCCCATAAACCAACACGAGAAACTGCACAATTCGCGCGCAATTACTGCATTTGCCCATGCAGAGTCGTACGATTTATGCTCCAGGCTAGGGTGATCCTCCCGCATCTCATCGTCCTAACCAGCGCCACGCCGCGACTAGGTAGCAATAGTTCGTGGTGAGCCCCTGGCACAAACTCAATTCTTCATTGGTTAGTGCACTTAAAAGCCCAGGGTATCTTGTTCGCGTATATTGATTGACTTTCGGACATGCTTTCGATAGTCTTCAATGTAACATCCATTAATGCAGCCTTGAACCTTAAATTAATGAAAACGACTTCTGTCTGAACCGTGCCTTTGCCGATAAGATTTTGCCGCGGCAGGATCTCACTGCGGATAGAGCGCTTGTGAAAATATTCGATATTGGCACTATGTCAAGATTTGTACCCCAGCTCATCCGTAGATGATTGAAAACTATATAACTGAAGAAAGGAGAAGACAGATCCTTTGAGTTTATCTCCCATACTGGTCAGCAGAAACCGAGTTCATAAACGTAGTGCCAGCCAGTCGGAGAGTATCAGGCTGAGCCATCGACCCATTAGGATTGAAGTAGAAGTGCTCGCCATAGCCACCGCCATTGTCGAAAATAGGCCACTCGGGAATGCCAGAAACTACACAGGTTAGTTGGATATCGTACCTGTAGAGGGCTTGAAAAACTTACTTCCGTGTTCGTTGGGGTTGAGCTCATTGATGAAGCTGATCCACATGTGGCTCACAAGCTTAGCGAGGTCGAGAACCTCCTTTGACGCGTTGACAAGAGGGCCTTGGCCCTTGCTGTAGCCTTGGCCGAGCAAGTTGTAGAAAACGTAGGCGACCTCGACGAAGTGAGGAGTTCCGATGTAGTCGGCTACAATTCACGTCAGTAAATACAAACCATCTCGAGTATATGAGAGCTATACTTACGCATATTGGTATTGGGGGACTCGAACAGGTACGCAAATGAAGTCACGTTGTGCTTAGACCAAGCATCAGTTCGCGCACGTCTCCACGACATGAAGAGCTGATCACCCTGCAGAGCAGCCCATCTCTTATACTGCTTCTTGACAGGATCACTTGGCTTGTAACGGTAACCAGATGGGATTCCAAGAGCGTCGATGTTGGGATATAGAGCCAAGAGTGTGTCAATGGTATCAGCATCAAGTCCAGTGGCTCGAAGCTTAGAAACAGCCTCTTCAGTAGAGTCAACGCCGGGCAGACCAAAGAAGCTACCCTCATCGGCATTTGTTCCAGCCATGAGAGGCACCTTGGTGAAGTTTCCCTCGGCGAGAAGCTTGGAGGGATAGTCGGGGACAAAGTCATCGTCAACGACAGGGTAGAAACTGCCCTGGATCTTAGTACTTGTGGCATTGAGCTTCTCGAAAGGGACTTGGCGGAGACAGGCAAGCTTGTCGGATTCCTTGTCGCAGCCAACTGCCTTGACGATAGTGTCGTAACGCTGCTGTGGTCCGGTGTAGTTCTTCATGTCAGTTCCATCAGCTCCAGATTCGGCGATGATACCACGGAATAGCCCCTCGTCAAGGCCTCCATAAGCCATGGCTTGGTAGCCGACGTTACCACCGCCAGCACTCTCACCGAAGATGGTAACCTTTGAAGGGTCTCCACCAAAGGCAGCAATGTTCTCCTTGATCCAGTGCAGGGCAATGCGCTGGTCCTTCAAGCCGAGGTTAGCAACTCCGGCATCGAGGATGTCCTTGCTGGCCATAAATCCCCAGAAAGAAAGTCTATCTTCTGATAGTTAGTCAAAAGTCTAGTTGGTAGAGGATTATCGGCTTACAGTCGACGGAGACTCCGATGAAGGGCTTGCCCATCTTGACAGACTCCTCTACCATGAAGCTCATGTTGTAAACACCGTTGGCGCTAAAGTCCATGGTCCAGCCTCCACCGTGGATAAAGACACCAACTGGGAGTTTCTCCTTCTTGCTAGCCTTGGACACAGCAGGCCTGACGATGTTTAAAGTCAAGCAGTCCTCGCTGAAGGTCGCAGGACCCTGATCAGCGCTGTTCTACGCAATGTCAGAGAGAATTCACATGATCATGAGGAGGGAGACTTACTCCATAACCGACACAAGAATCAGCATACTTGGTGACCTTTTTGACCTTGAAAGTCTCGTTCAAAGGCTGAGGGTTCTGAAGACGAAGTTGGCCGACAGGAGGTTGAGCAAAGGGAACACCGAGGAAGAGATCTTGATCCAATCCAGCGACATATTTGCCCTCAAGGGTGCCGTTATTGACTCGCACAGTAGGTGCTTGTCGTCCAAGAACGCCTTCGGTGAGAAGGGCGACCGCAGTGGCCAGTTTCAAGAGAGAAGGCATGTTGAAAAGAAGGCTTGGCGTAACACTTTTCGAGTCTCAGAACCATCTTGGAACTCGAGATTATTTATTATTCCGACAGTATTGGGAAAATCAAGGTTTTTGTCTAGTGATTGACCAAAGCTCCGGCTAGAGTGCCATTGAGCGGAGAACAGAAACGTCATGCGGAACAATTCCCATAAAATCTATCAAAACCTCTCAATGCATCACGTATATTATCAACCAGGGATACCACGCTACAGCCATGCCATTCCCTATTTCGACTACAATTCCGAATATTCACGCTTGCCGAGGTCAACTGCCGTCCGCCCTTTTGCTGGATCGCAGTCGAATGATGCACGCAAGAGTATTCCCCATGGGGAATCGCAAATAAACATCATGCGGGGACCTTGGATGGCAAAACATCGGGACACTTGAAACCCCGGATATATCGATGGGGAACCACAAACGGGCCGTTAAGGTTCTTGTGATCGGACCGTAATTGGCAGCTGGACCACTAGCGATGGAACCATGGACCTGGAATTGGCCGAGGGGGACTTGGCCGATACTACCTCGTCGTGATCATAATCAGTCATGATCGTAAATCCCGTCGGTGTTCACGACTCGTGGGTAAAGTGAATGTCATCTATTCCGCAGGTCGAGATGGTGCAGCCAATAAATGGTGTGTATTTCTCCCCAAATTCTCATATGCAATGCAACCTTAGCTAAGCGGTTCTAAGAATACTGGACCTCGATATTGAACTGGCCATTTTTGTCATCAATCAACGTGACCTTGACTCCCCATTCCGAAGCCTCAAACGACGTCTTCCCATTCATCGACAAAGTCCCGTCGTTCAATGGTTCCGCGCCATTGTTATCCCCGCAGCCGTTCGATCCGGGCGTCGCATCCAAGACTTTGATTGAACCCTCCGAAGTGGCTAGCGTTGTATCAACGGTATACAGAAGAACTCCCGGTGCGCAAACATCCCCATCAACACCCTTCGCCATACGAGCCTCGACAACCAGAGCAGAAGTGTCGCTCTTAGCAATGACAACCGCCTTGACACCACCCTCAACTTCAACAGGAGTCAACGTATGCTTAGTCGTGCCACGTTTGACAACGCAGTCAATGGCCTCGTCGGCCAACCATCCAAGTCTCCATTTATCCCAAGCAAAGAAATCAGGCGCTACTCCTCCCACATTTCCCATGATACTCCATCCTCCGGTGTAGTAGCCAGTCGGCAGATCCGGCGTATTAGGGTAGTAGTCGGGCAAACACATCGAGTGTCCTGTCTCATGATTGACCGCCTTATAGCCCCAGGAGATGTAGGGATCGGCGCCGAAAGTGACAGCTCTTCGAGAGACGAGTTGCCCATTGCGTGTAGAGACGCTGAAGCTGGATCCGAGTGATCGGGTCATCTTGTCGTTGTTGCGTGTTGTCGCGATGTAGAGAATGTCCGTCTCGGCGGGCGGTGCTCTCGCGCCGTTGTTTGTATACGCGTCGAGAGCATCTTGGATATAAGACAAGTGTTGTTCAGCGCTAAAGCCTTCTTCCCATTTATACGATGCTGCAGATTTGGGCATGCGGTAGAACTTAGTAGTATCTGCAGTGATATTGAGTTCAAGCTGGCCGTAGCTTGCCGTCTGGTACCACTTTGCTGCATCCGGTACAAGAAGATCGCGGAGTTCTTTGACGGATTCAGAAGCTGGTGATTGAGCGTCGGAAAAATCGACAAAGATCATGTAACCCTGGATCGTACCAGTTCCAGAAATACAGTCGTCCTGAAACCCATGTCCAACACTAAAGTGGGCATCGGTTCTTGGCAGTTTGCATGTTGTTGCAGTCGCAATCGCCGAAGGCAATAATGCCGATAATAATGATGTCTTGAACAGCATTGTAAACTACAGCTGAGTATGGAGATTTCAACGGCATTTTAGACGTCTTCCCTAGTTTATATGCCAAATAATTATCGAGTTTACTAGGTGTGCAAAAGCTTGGACCTGTAGATGGTGCTTTAAGTTGCTAGCATGTTTTGTTTATATGGGAAACACGAGCTTTAAATGATAAGGATGGCGATGCGAAACGAAGCCTTGAATAAGCTCCTGTTTCAGACCCTTCAAAACTGCCTATGATCATTTGGGGCCTGTATGAGGGATCGTCAGGCCAAGCCCTGGATAAATGATCAATTTGCATTCTAATATGCGATAATAATTCTGCATTGCCCTTCCGAATTTCGGAGTCTGTGATGCTGTCATGGAGTATCGTAAACTTTGTTGGCTTCCGATTTCTTGGTACCTTTTCTCCTCCGTCGCCTTCAGAGGCTTCTCGCCGTCAATCTGGTAATCTAGTGGGTGACTTGCTTTCTAGCATCATGAATAGTTTGCAGAGCCAGCTTTATTCGATGTGAATATCATTCTGGAAGACCTTGGCTGCTCAAGTGACTAACCGATGGCCCAACTTGGTGTATCAGGACCTGCCTTCAATTCCTTGTAGCATTTATTATGAAGGTTGATCTCCTCATCTCTGCAATAAAAACTTTAAGAGATAGACGTCGTTTTCAGAAGTTCGTTGCACTGATAATCGAAGACGAAGTTAGAAAGGAGCTTCTAGCTTCTGTCACTCCCGGTCGTCCACAATTCACCGAAGCTTATAGAGTTCTAGTGCCACTCAGCTCAATATCCTGGAATGAAAGACAGTCATCGAGGTCCACCCGTGCTCTTTATGTAGCCGCTTTGAAATCTCCGGTGGCCATGGTGATGACGACTAGGGTCTCCCTACTTCGCGAGTGTGTAAGTTTGTACCAAAGTGGTCTCGGTACGAGCAAGGTAGAAAAGCATAACCATCCTTCTCGCTGATCTCTTCGATCAGCGACAATGCCTCCATCTAAACAACTTGCAACACCCGATTCAGTCATTTCAGATCCTCAAATACGTCACCTGCAACCCAACTTCAAATATCTCGTGCCGAAGGTGTTGCGAAAATAACTCCGATTTATGGCTCAGCCACGAGCAGACTCTTTCCACGCTCGTTGTGAGTTGGGGCTGACAATAAGAATACCTAGAGTGCCTGTCGGGACACCTTACAGTCTTTCGGTAGAGCAGACCCGATGCATCACCTTTAACTGATTTACTTCAAAGTACAGCCGCCTACTGATCTGTTATAAGACCTTTTGTCACAGGTGAAACTTCTGCGGCCAACTTGGTAAAGCCGGTGGTATACATTTTGCTCTTCAATTCCCAAAAGGCATTGCGACTGCTCTTGAACTCTCCGACATTGCCGGCATTCAAGATGGTCGTCTCTGGCGCTATTGCCGGGTGGCTGAATTGGGTGTGTTAGCTATAGGGATATTTGAGCCTTTTGTGTATGAGGCAGGCTCAGGTTGAAATCAGGGTTGCTTTCAGGAGAAGCTTGGATCTTCTGTATGATGACTTGCGATGATTTAAGCACCTCAGCTTGCTGATGAGGGTTTACTGTCAGATCTAAAGCATAAATTACGTTAGTAGGTAGTTTTGCAGTATATTTTTGAAACTTTTTAATCATTCATTATCGCAACCTGTCGCAATACTGGCTCAAACTTTTACCAACTTGTTATATATCTAAGTGTTTAATGCTTACTTCACCGAAGTATCATAAACCTGTTCATGTTCTTGTGCATCCAATGATAATCTCTCCCAGCGAGGAGCAGGAAATGGGTATTTCAAGATTGCAGCCTCTCTGCATGTCAAATTCTAAAGATACGAGGTATTTGTCGAAAATGTTGGAACTCATGTGTTTCCCATGGGCCTGATAGGTTTCTGTAGACTTTTGTATGTTTTAAAAGAAGATGAGTTATCTTATACAATTCCTACAATTGTCTGGACAATAAACATATTTAAAATGGCCAAGTGCACTCGGTAGCAAATCATTTTACAGAAACACGCCGTGATCTTAGCCATGGCTAAGTAAGCACGAGTATTGGCCATTGGGAAGATAGTTGGAGAGAAATGAAGTGACGAATTTGCCATACCCTATAGCTAGCTCATCGAGGCGCCGGCATTGCGGATGTTGACGACTGACAGGTGCTAGCACCTGAACCTAACGAGCCACAAAATTTGTACGAAAATTAATTGCCCCTGAATCAACGCCGCAGAAACTGGCGATAGCTTCAATAGCGTGACAAAAGGAGTTGAAACAAATCGATAGCGTGGAGGGACCATGGCCCAAAACATCGTTAGCTTAGGGTGGAGCAGATAGACGGAAGCTGATTGGTGGCCCGGTGCGCTATTGACAGAGTGTGTTTTCAGGTGACAGGGATTAGAATCTGATCAGGGACAAAGACTGGGCTAGCCCAGAGGTTTATCGGGAGTTGGTATCGGAGTAGCTTGTCGCGATGGTCACTGAAAAAGCAGAGCACGGAAGCAGTTGCTTTGCGCTTGAAGCATATCGACGCGAAACTAACAGTGCCAAAGCGATTTAGGCCCAGAGGATTCCTACCTACAGGAATGATTACCGGTTATGAGCATCATCGCCAAGGCAAGGGGGCGGGCGGAGCTCAGCAGCCATCCAATTAAAACCCGTTTCAAGTGGCGTCTTTAGCTTCAGCTGAGGAATCGTGCTGTAACAAAGAGCCCCCTCTTTTTTGCAGCTCAAATGAAGACAAAAGTAATTGAGAGAGGAGAATATTTCTCCTATTCAGTGAGTGCACATTAAGAGCTTCATTTTGCGACGGCAGTGGACATTTGAGGGGGGGTCGTTGAGGCAGAGGTTGGTTTGGGTCAAACCGTGGCGCCCGACCGTTGAGTCTGATGCTAGCGACGGCAGTTTCGGGAGGAGAAAAACAGAGTTACAGCCCTGCAACATTCAAAGTTTAGAGGTAGCGAAGCGTGATCAAGCACTAAATGGTCATAAATGAGATTGCGAGTGTTTGTGCCACAAGCCAAAAGGCGCTGCAATTGATGGCAGAGCCCTGGAAGGAATGTTCTGGCGATGCGCTTCGAGAAAGACGCTGGAAGAGTGGCGAGATCTGGGTAAGAAATTGCTTGGCGGAACAGGATCCGTTAAAGGGACCAACACCAAAAGGTAAAGGCAAAGTAAGCGTAAGCACCCCCGCATCGCGTGCAACCTACAGTGCCCAGTACAGTATCACCATCAGTCAAGACTCTAATAATAACCTTATGAAGACACTCCAATCTTCGATTCCATCAATCTCATCGGCGGAATATCACTTCATCAGAAACAACCTACACAGCAAGGTTAATTCCTAACTACCGTGGCCTCATGGAATGGTCCCCTTTTCTACAGGCCTCGTCGCAGATTGATTACAGTGGATCAACGAGGCGTCAAGCCTTGACCAACCGTTATGAAGCGCTACCTGTGCTGAGGCAAGCACCAGCAAGATCGCTACGGTAGGGAGAGCAAAAATGATACTGTATCTAAAGTAAGAACCCCCTGGACCGGTTTAAAAAAGAGAGTCAGGGGTCTGTTGTCAGTTCCTTTATTCCCCCCTCTCTCAGCTCAGCTGTCTGTCACTTTCTTGTCTTGCTTTATTTTTTATTTTTCTTGCTTTCCGACATTCGTTTTTCTTGCATTCTTTTTATCGTCCCATCACACAGCAGATTAATCGTCGTCCGATCGCCAGAAAATGACCGTCCCAAGGTCAAACAGAGCCGTGCTCTTGGCCGCCGTCGTTTTCGTCACCATATTTCTCGGTCTTGCGCATTTCCACCTAAAGACTCCCTCCGAGTCGACAGCAGCCGTAAAGAGCGGAGTGTAAGATTTTCCATTTCCCCCTCTTTTTCGCAGCGATAAACTTTATCTGACAATTATCCCTTCGAATAGCGACGAGCCCGCGCCTTTTGTCCCCGAGAAAGAAGCCGCCGCTGCTGCCCCGACTTTTGTACCCGGCGAAGATGAAGAGATTGGCGCGACACCCGCTGTTGAGGTCGTAGCTGAGACGCCGAAGCCTGACGAGCATCACCATGCTGTTACGCCCGATAAGCCTGAGGCTGATCCTGCGGAGGAGCCCAGCGATCCCGAGGAGATTGCTGAGGCTGAGGAGCAGGCTGCGAATGCTTCTCCGACTCCCGCTCCCGCTGCTGCTGCTTCGCCCGCCGCTGAGCCGGAGCAAGAGCAAGAGCAAGAGCATGACCACGAGCACGAGCATGAGGAAGCGCACGACCACGAACATGAACATGACCCCGAGAATGAGGAAGAGTTCATCCCCGAAACCGAAGTCGAGGAAACACCTGAAGCTCCCGCCATTCCCGAAGCGCCCACCGGTCCTAATCTCGATGCCTTCACACCCGAGCAATGGATCAAGCCCGCCGTCAAGGTCAACGAACCCGAATACTACCCCTACGGCCACTGGCCCTCCAAGCTTCCCTCCGACAAGCCCATTTGGAATGAGCCTCTCGGCAAGAAGCTATGCATCATCGACCTCGAGAGCCGTCGCTTCGACAAGCCCGGCCAGATCTGGTCCGACGAAATGACGTGGAACAAGAGCCGAGAAGTCCACGGCCCATCCGGTGGCACACTGAACCACTGGGTCTACTGTACGTCCTTCGCTTATCCCCTCCCCAGCATTCGCGGTGTACTAATGTCTCAATAGCCAAGATCCACGGATACCAGTACTACCACATCAAGATCAACGGCTACCCCGACCGTCGCGATTCATGGAAGAAGCCCTCCGTCCTCTCGCAGGTCCTGAAGAAGCACGACGTCTGTGTTTTCATCGACTCCGACGCTCTGTTCAACCGTCTTGACCTCCCCCTCGAGTGGCTCATGAACTACTGGAGCATTTCTCCCCAGAACAACTCCCTTGCTCTCCCCTACGATCCCGACACCCAGCACAACCGCGACCGACGAGGAAACCTGTTCCTGAACACTGGTTTCATGATCATGCAGAACAAGAACAAGACATACGAGATCTTCAAGGAGTGGGATGACTGTGCCAATGACGGCGGCAAGTTCCCCGGCTGCACTGAGTTCCGCAACCGAAAGGGCTGGCAACCAACCGATCAGGGCGGTTTCGGCACGTTCATCCGCTACGAGTATCCCGATGAGATTCTCTCCCTGCCTTGTACCGAGGCCAACGGCTTTCCCGAGAGCCGATCAGGCTGCGACGGAAAGTTCATCAAGCACGTTTGGATCGGCAAGGAGGACCGTCTCGTCCAGGCCGTCGGGGCTGTCTTCCCTGGTGTTCTACTCGAGACTTTCCACAAGCAGTTCCTCAAGGAGTCGGAGGGCTTCAAGACTTCCGAGGACGATCTGATCAAGCAAAACGGTATGCCTTGGTAGACGGTTCATTTTGATGCTGGAGTTTTGTGGTTTACAAGGTCGATCGGCGTTTCAATTCCCCATGCCCACAGTTTGGAGATCAATACATGGGAGTCGGTGTATAAATAGAGAATGTAATTGGATATAGATCTACGAGGAAGGGGGCGGTACGGCAAAGCCTGAATATACAAGTTTTAACTGTTCATTTGATCCTCCAGACAGGTCACGCTCGGCGCATGCAAGAACACTCAGTTCTCTGCTGGTTTAAGATACCACATATAGTTCACAACCTAGACATTTCGCATGCAGGAACGCGAGACCTCGGTCCCCACGTTGCGCAAATTTTAGACGAGCCTTAGGGGAGAATCGTAGTAGCTTAGACGAGCTTTAGGGGAGTTTAGCTTGAGCAAAGTCTAAAGTTTGACGAATGTATTCTTCCCATCCCCAATACTGGTCCTCGCAGTCATCTTCTTGGTTTGTGCCATGGTCCATCTCCACCCTTGAACGGTGTTGTTCCTCAATCATATATGCTGTTGTCGTGACATTATGATCGCAGGGTTCTGCAAACTTGGGCTCTCGAGGTTGTAGAGCTTATGGACTAAGCACCCTCCCGTTAGAAACCCATGCCCTCTAAGATCTTGATCTGTTCGGTCGATGATGGAGTGGTACGTACTGCTTTTCGGGACTGTGGAAAGGTTGTCAGCAAGTGTACGACATTGAAGAATATGAGCGAATGCGACGAGGATGTTCATGAAACCTAATGCTAGAGGACAAGGGATATGTGCTTACTCTTGTGCTTACTCTTGTGCATGAGGACACCGACGTGACGCGTTGCTAGACAAGCATTAGCTATTGATTCATGTAATCATCGACTGTTCATGACTTACTGCCAAAGGCACACTGCTGAACTTGATTTCCTAAGAAAGTTGTCAGTAATCGTGTCCATGAATTGATGATCGCAGTCGCATGTTATGGATGGGCTTTTGGGAGGGTGCTGGAAGGGACGTTCACACTCACCGGTCGTTTGGGGGCCATCTGAAAGGACTGTCAGCAATCCTGTGCACAGCTAGACATGTCGTTACTCGGGTGGTAAGTTAATCTTACAGTGATGATTTGGTTGCTACATGACTGGTCAGCCGAGAGTGCTTGGAGTTGGAGGTGGACGAAGCCACGTAGGGGAAACTTACAAGATTGAAAGTTTGTGAAAGACTAGATGAAAACAGACATGTTAGAAGTGTCAAGGATGTGATGGAGGACAAGTTGAACTTACACCGGTGGGCTTTGGACGGCTCTGTACGAACTGCGTGTTAGCGGCAAGACGAGGAACTGCGCAGAATGGAGACGGAAACGTACGAAGACTGCGATCAACAATTAGTCAACAGTCTCAGCAAGACGCTCGGCCAGGAACGTCGAGGAGAAGGGAGACTCGCCGCGCAGAAGATATCGAGGGCTTGCCATTTAAAGTGGCTTGAATCTTTTGCGCGATGGTTTGTAGCGTGAGGTTGGCAATGCGGAAGATGTGGGAGTTGAGTCATGAAAAGAGGAAACACAGGCAGAAGAAGGTGGTCTTTGGCGGCAAAACCAAGGCAGGCGAGGGTGGGAGTCGAGGGAACTACCCACCTCGAGATGGACAACACCAAATGGAAGCAACCACCACTTAGAGGTACCTACAGTGCACGTAGAGTTTAGCTATAATTGGCGCTTCATCGTGTCACATTATGACGCTCGACGCATGCAAAAATACGAAACCTCCCCTCGATCCTTTGGTAGGTTGCACAAGTCTTAGGCCGGCTTTAGGTAAGGGCAGCATAATCTTAGACACTTTTAGGATACTTTAGTATGAATAAACCCTAAAATTTGAAGAGTTTATTTCTTCTCATCCTAAATGCTGGTTCTCGCATCCCTCCTGTACCTTATCCGCCCTTCCCCAATTTGGCATTGCTGTGTATTCTTGATCGCGTAACTTTGCAGACATGCGAGCGCGCATGCGAGGCCGCCGACTTTAGTCTCATTGTCAATATCTTTCCTCCTCAAGATCGGTCTCCTCGGGCTTAGCCTCCTCGGCCTCGAGTTCCTGTTGTAACATATTAGAAAACTCACGATAGAACATAGCTGCAATTACTTACGTCGGCCTTCAGCTGCCAGTCCTGACACAGAAGCGCTGTCAGCCACGTCTCTTGTCAATAGGATAAATACTTACGGCAGCGTGTTCGATATCTTTCTATGCAGAATGTCAGTGGGTGTCCTCGGATTGCATACAGGAGGGAAATACTAACCTGGATCTGCAAATCCAGGGCCTGAAACACATTAGCAATTGACCTATGGGCTTGATGAACCAAGGCCGTGGGGATGCAATTAAACTCACCGCCGCCTTGGCCACAAGGGCCCGTTTCTCTTTGTCTCGGGCCTACGCACATCCGTATCAGTGCATGTCCAAAGTGAACACTACCTGCCATCAATCTTACATCTGCCCGGCTTTTCAGCCACTATAGAATTGTCAGTGTATTGTTCAGTAGTGGAGGATCGGGAGAATACTTACGGCGACCATGTCGGGGGCGTGCTAGAAAGAGAAACATCGTCAGCCTGGTCTTGTCATAAGGAGTAGCCAAAGAGTGTTGACACCTACCGCGACTGTTCCCGTGTGCTGAACAAGTAGTTTAGTATATGGGAATGAACATAAGTGGGATCATGGGGACACAGGTTGGACTGACTTGAAAATCGGGCTAGAAATTGAACGAGTTAGTCAGTGAAATTGATCGTTGAATGAATGGAAGAGAGCCGCTTCCAAGAGTGACTTACTTTTTGAACCCCCGCAGGGGTGGTCAAAGACCACCATTCAGGCGCTTCGTCACGAATACTATAGTCGAGAGAAGGGGAGGATGTTTGTAGCGGCGGCGGAGAAGGCCATCGAGGTGGTGAGTGAACCAGGTGGTTCCTTGTGAAGTGACCAGACGGATGATGTTCGAGGCTCGCATTTGAGAAGTGGCTTGGATTTCTTGCGCGATGGTTTGTGAGGAATTTGGAAGATGCAAGAGTTGAACGATCATGTTTGCAAGAGAGAAACAAGAGGGGTGGTCTTCAGCACGGTAAAACCACGGCAGGCAAGAGCAGGGAGGCGGGAGAGGCGGGAGAGGAAGTTACCTCAGGATGGCACCAAATGGAAACAGTGGGTTGCAACTTAGGTAAGTTGCTGTTCTCTCTACGCGGCATTTTGTACACCGCGTTATATTGCAATTCGTGCATTGGGCGATTGAGAATGGCTCTAAGCAACTGAAGCTGCCCTTTGATCAGAACCTGCAAACGGTACTTCCTGAGCCCAAGAATCATTTCGGTATACGTAAATTTCGAGCTTTACCGAAGTAGTTATTTTAAGTTCTTAGTAATAAATTTCAATAGAAAATAATATATATTTACTCACTTCTAGGAGCTTGAGTTGATTAGGATATTTCTTTGTGTCAGCATGATGTTTCTCATCGAGTTGTCATAAACTCTAATTATCATTGACACCAAGCCATACCACATCTACATAGTGAATAGAGCTGTCAGCGACAGGTCTCGGTTGAAACAGTGAAAAGCACATCTGGATCTTACCGTGAATAGTCTATCAATACAACAGGGCATCAGTTACTCGAAGTCTCCCTTAGTGATGCTCAGAATAACATCATTACTGTATTATAAAAGCTGGTCTCGCTCCCTCGCTCCTTGGCTATTAGGATAAACTGAACAGCCTATTTACATAAAATATCTTCCTACCGTTTAACTTCTACCGACCATACGCAATCATATTTCAGATTGTGATACCTTATTTGGTACCTGGCAAAATGCCATCTTATCGATGGATGGGAATTCACAATTATAATAAGCGATTTGGGTTTAGACATGCTGCAATTGTCAAATGTTAGGCATTCCATAGTCTAGTTCCCACTGCACTAAATGCAACAAGTCCATATGCCCAAGTTGCAAACTAGAAGAGCAAGCCGCTTAAAGAACCATCTCTGGATTAGGGTCAATATATCCAATCGGAAACCAGAGACATAAGATCTGCTACCATCTATGGGGAGGACTTTCTCGTGACCGTTACTTATGTGGAATCCAAATGGCGAATACTAATTGATAGGTCTTGTATAGGCGCCCGAGTCCATAGAAACCACCTTTAGTAAGGAAACTGGAGGCTGTGTCGTAAACATTAATAATAGTAGTAAACCAATATTTATAAGGTATCTGACTTCCATATATATTAAATTGTCTTAAATCCTAAATTCACTTGATCGTATCAAGAGTCAACTATAGATATTAAATAATATACTGCTCTCTACCTAGTGGCATTATCTGTCGTTTAATATAACCGCAACAGGAAGGTTTTATGTGAAACCTGTGCACTTTTAACGTGGCACGAATGAGCGCATAACGTATTTCTGCCTATTATGCTGTATCGCCTTTGTTGTGATTTGACCATACAAGAGTTGCGTCCACCCCAAGCTCTAACGCATATCCGAGATGGCTGCTTTATTTGATGATGCTGTGGATCTTCGAGCGTCTCAGGCGAATCTCTCTACAGCCTCTTTATGAGAGTCTTGATGCATCAATTCATTCTCATCACAAGATAAGGCTATCCTTACGTGGCATGATTTCAAAGGTTAAGTGGGATCCTCTTCTCCCTCGTCCTCTCATGCCTCTTCTCGATTTCCTCCAAGCTATAACCTTTCGTCTCATTCATGAACAGAACAACCATTATCGTTGTTACGAGACTACATCCGGCGAAGAGGTAGTATGCGCCAAACGAGGACTTGTCAAGCAACACCGGGGTCACAAGAGCGACGATATAGTTAGCAGCCTATCACGCGTTAGTACATATGACAACACCATCTTTGGAGCTTTACCCACCCAGTTTGAACTTTGCGCGAGACTCGAAGCACTGCTTCTCGTACGTCTCGGCATACTCTCAACAACCCATGTTCGGAAGCCAATGGCCCAGGTGAAACTGAAAGCAATAGCGAAGAGATAGATGCAGACGATGACAACCCATCTCCCTGCGCCGTACTCAGGGTGAACTTGTCCAGACGCATATAGCGATCCCATGATCACCATCAAACCGACGATCAGAACTCCACCCAAGATACTTTGCATTCTCCGACCCCACTGCTCGGCGAAGATCGTCGCAGGAAGGGTAGCTGCGAGAATCACGACAGCCGAAATTCCAGATGCCAAGAACGAGGCTTTCTCGCCGCTAAGACCTGCTTGTGTGAATAGAATGGGCGCATAGTAGAGCACTCCATCTATGCCACTGAATTGCTGCATACCCATGAGAAAGCAAGCAAAGGCTGTTCTGCCGCGGTATGGTGCCGAGAATGCACACCGGAAATCTCTAAAAGTATGTTGAATGTCTTGCCACAGCGATGTCTCGCCATCTAAACCACCCGGGGTATCATAGACCTGAGCGAGAAGCTCCTTCTCTTCAACTTCATCAATGCCGAGTTGCCGGCAGACCGTTCGAGCTTCATCTGTTCGTCCCTTGGACAGAAGCCACCGTGGAGATGGAGGGACTATGAAAGCCACCATCGACAGAAGAAGGCCGAGAAATGCAACAATGGCGAGAGGCAGACGCCACGTAATAGACGAAGTGCCAAGTCGTGATGTTCCGTAGCAGGTGAAGTAACCCGTCACAATACCAGTAGTGATGGAGAACTGCGGAAGCGCGGTCATGATGCCTCTCACCCTGGAGGGAGACATCTCTGAGACTTGAACGTAGACATTGCTGAGAAACAGACCCTCGCCCATTCCTTTGATGAGCCGACCGAGGATGAAGACACCGAGATAAGGAGCGCCGCATTCGATTGCAGCACCAATACCGAATATGATGGATCCTATGGCGATGAGTCTCACTTGTCCGAAACGATGTGCTAGAGCACCTGCAATAAGCGCCGTCAAAGCCCCAGGGATGAGAATTGTCGACACGATAACGCCGTGAATAGTTGCGGAGAAGTCGCCAAAGGTTTCCTTGAAGGCGGCCATGGTGGTGATAGGACCAATACTCCCAGTGTCCATTCTAAACAACGTAATCAGACAATCGTTCTCAGAGCTATCACGATTGGGGAACATACCCAAAGAGGAACGCAACACAAGAGGTTGCGACACCAGCACTCGCATACAACGGCACCTTCATCTTTGCGATTCAGCAACCTTACGATGAAACCTACAGAATCATAGCTAAAGAAAATAATTCCTCGATATTTAAGCTTATCTCTCTAGTCTTGCGCAATCTTTTCAGTCGGTGTGATCACATTTTTATTATGGAGACGCAGGCGCTTCGGATTTCCTCTTTGAAGGCCGATGGGGCTGGCGGAGTTGCCACTCTCGGATTGATTACCTGGGTCGTTTATCAGTTCGCGTTGAAGTCTGTTTTGAGATATGCATGTGATGTGATGGAGATAACATTATCTTTCTCTCAATCTCTTTTGCTTTATCTGCTGTTTGCTACATGGGTTTGTGATGCTGGTGTAATGCATGGGATGAGAATTCCTCGATTAGATACACTAAAAATAGCATCAAACAACCCTAGGCTCCCATCGATGCGGACCCTACTTTTAGCACATCTAGCGAGTACTTCTATCTATGGTTCAACACCATCTACGCTGAAACTCAATACCGGGTATATGTTCTTCCATGGTTCATTGGTCGCGATACGCATGATGTGGCCGAACCTCGCTCCCGAAAACACGCCCTACGCCCTACGCCTTTTGTGATTGACATCGTTGAACTTAGTAGGCATAAGGCGTAAAGAAGAGAAGTTTATATATAACTACATTATCAATCTCATTTATTACTATCTAGTCTTTAAGTATAACGCAATCTAAGGCCCAGTCCAGGGCTACAAACACCAGTTTTCCAATCTACACATAAACCGTTCCAAGGAATGTCCTCTTTGCCGTCTGCCAGAAACCTTCAGTTACCCGGAGAACCATTGACATGATGTTCTTTGAAACAAGAAAGCCAGTCTTTGTTATCCGCTAGCGTCTGATCCCATGGATCCGAGGTATCGTATACAATCCTCCTCGCTTCAGTCTGAAACATCTCATCTGTCGGAATAACCCCGAGACTCATCTGTCGCTGTGCGTATCTGCCCAGGTGATGGACCAGAAATTCGGGGAAGGCCATGGAGCTGCTGTCCTGTGTCATTGAGCGTTGCGGCGGCGCTGCAGTTTCTTCTACTACGTCCAAATTGCCCAGGTTTCCCTCAGTAAAGTCCGTGGATCGGCCGACGTTCTCTCGAATCTGAAGAAGATGGTCTCGACAGCTTGGATCGGTTGCCGAGAAGGGCACGGGACATTTTCCTTCGACCTCGATCATATAAGGTGACAGCGCATTCGTCACACAAGCCTTGACATGCGGTTCAAAGTCATGGTCGCCCTTCCAATCAGCCATAGTATCACCCTTTCGAAAATGCTTCGCCAGATGTTCGACTCGTTCTTTCCACGTCTCCATTCGAAGGCCGCAGATTCCACATCTCGATTTCACGGGCGGTCCCTCAACTTTCCACGAATCTATAGCCGGTACCGTTTTCACGTGGTGGACGAGT